AGGATAGCACTAACTACATTGTATCGCTGCAGCAGGTGATAGTAACACAGCTCTATTGCTGATATATTGATAGAAATATAAAAATATTCCCAGGTCTTTACAATGCACTGAAGGCACAAAGCTCACCCAGAGGCATCCCTTCAGGGGAGGAGCACAGTCCATCAACCAATCCCAAGTAAGCAGAGGTGATTCCCCCTCTCTCCTTTTTTCTTTCTTTGCCCCAACCCCCCACCCCCCCTTCCTTTATGTTATAGGTAGGGTTTTGAGTGTTATGATCGTACATGTAAGGTGTGTTTTCACTTCTCTTTATTTGCATCCTTAGGATGTAAAAGTTAATACGCAAATAGGGCTTCATGAGTGTCTTGGTTATTTTCAGTCAGAATTTATAGTTGACACAAAAGGTAGAATAAACACTTTGGTTCTCCACCTCCTGAGGTGGTAGTAAAGGCTGTCTGACCTTCACTGGAAAGTCTTTGAGTACATCTTTGTCTCCTTAAAGGATCACATTTGTAACAGGCTGCTAATGCACAGTGGCTGGTAGAGAGGTGCAGGTTTTCTCTGGGGCTTCTCTGAGGCTTCCACTTCACCCAGGCATCGTTCGGTCCTTACACCTTGCACAAGCCAGGTAAGATAGGCAGGGGCACATCTCATGTTTTTCTCAACCAGTCTCATCACTTCTTCACTGATTTAAGGCAACTCTGTAGCAAGCCTGACCATTGACCATAATTATGGATGTGTGGTACATTGTTGGGTTCCTTGATCTGTGGAACACGGTTCCTTGATTTGTGAAACCAGTGTCAAAGCCCTGTTTTGAGCCAACAGAATCAAAGTCATGAAGTGGGTGCACAATCTCATGTTGTAAACTTGTAACACTTTGGCCTGTGTTTACTGAAAGGAAAGAGAAGTAATGATCTCAGCATGCCATCTGCCAGTTTTCTGGCTGAATGGAACAGACTGTGTCAAAGGGTGAGATACGTCTTTAAGTGACCTTTGTGGATTTTTGGTGGCTCTGGGGTTTCTTGTTTGGTTTTTTGTGTTGCTTAGTAATGATATAACGATTACAAATTTATAGTATTTGTGCAGTATGTGAGGCATTAACATGTTTGTAAAAATTAAGAGTCCAATTAATGTTTCCTCTGCAGAACTTTAAAATTATATGGCTCCTTCCTTTTCCTTTTTTCCCTTCTACAAATGACCTAGAATAGTGAAAAATCATAAATTTGCATTTCAGTATTACTCAATTCAGTAGTGTTTTCAAATGGAGCATATAGCAGAATTAAATAACTTATAAAGCAAAAGTGGCTTTCAAAGGTCATATAATGTCTTTGTGGTTAGTAGCTGCACACAGGGCAATGCCTGTGAATGATAATGTTTCCTCCAAATGAACCACTGAACTATGCATTCAGTAACAGAAATCTTACTTGATGACTTGCAGAACTATGTTAGAAAGATTTAAAACAGACAACCAGATACACTCTGATGGATTTCTTATGCCGTTCTTTTGGCTTTCTATAACTTCTGCTGGTCTACTGGAATCTATCCTACTATTCAAAATCTGTTCAAAACCATAAAAAGGTAATACAACATAGGTTGGACCAGGCCAGCTTCTGTAAGGAGACACACCAACTCTATAGTCACTGAGTAGTTGGTGGAGAGAAATAGGCTCTCCCAGGCAGGAAGTCATCTGCTGTCTTTAGACACGTATCATAGGGTGAGATGAATCACCTCCCTTTCTTCAAGGACTGAGCCAAATGTGACTGGACAACCTTTCTCTTTTAAGGCAGTAAAAGTTTGGTAATGTTAATCCCAGTCTCCAAGATATTTTGTTTGTTTTCTGATGACACATTATATTTTGCCTTTGATCTGTTTTGGAAAATAAGATTTTAGAGGGAAGCTTCTCCAGCAGTCCTTGAACAAGGTTCTATTGACTCCTGTCAGAGGTCAAGGTGAGAAAAGACTGCAGGACTTTGCTTCCAGAAAGTGAAGTGTTTCACTATTCCTTTTCCTTATTAGTGACATTTTGTTCTACCTTTCCACTCCCTTTAATCACTGCTAGAGATGATGCCAGCAGACAGTTAGGTGTTATCCCCAGGGCCCATGGATTGTCACAATAAATTCTGTGAAAAGACATAGTTTGATTAATGTCTACTGCAGGAGCTGAAGGCATTGCTCCATAACATAAAAATACTTGCAATCAACTACTACACTCTGTTCTGATGTGATGATTCACATTTGGCAATGTAATGATTTCATCATTTTGCCCTCCAACACAAGCAGTTGGGTTTATGTTCAGAAGAGCTGCAGCAGAGAAAAGGGGGCCTGATCAGTTTCTGTTGCTGCCCTGCCTTGGTCCCTTTACCAACACCAGGATACTCGGTCTCAGCTTGCTGAGAGAATGTGGCAGCTGTTAAGGCCCTTAGTGAAATTGGTTTAGCTGTTAGTACACTCTCTGACCACAGGCAAGAATTTTGTCAGCTCAGAAGAATTTTATATATAATGTAGATAAATTGCTGAGCTCCATGTCCTGCCATGACCATGGCAAAAATTGTCCTTAGCTTAAAGAGGCCAGATGTATTTTCATGGATCCAGGTGCTTGCCTGGTGTAAAGACTGTGTGAGACATTTTGTTGTCCATGTGCTTCAGTGTCTACCAGTGACACTAGGCTGCTCTCATGGACTCTGAACATCCAGAAGTCTGCATTTCCATTGGCTCCCTTAAGCTGTTTAAAAATGTAGGCAGGTTGGATTTGGTGCTGATGTGCACGGTATTGGCACAGTGTGTATGTGACTAGCCCTGGTGTCTGATGTGGGGGATCATCACTTGCCCTGCATGCTGTGATCAGCCTGTTCAGTGTGCCTCTGGAAATCCTGGGCTGCCTTGCTAACCCTGTACAAGTTCAGACCACACAAATGTCCCATGGCTCAGAGAATATTTGTCTTAATACAAAATGAGAGACAAAAGACAAACTGTTAGAGGACTGCAGGGAAACATTAAAAAAATATAGAAGTCAATCAATCAGTTGTTAGACTTAGCAGCTCTAACTTTGCTGCAATTCTGTGGCTCTTATGTGGGCTTTTAGGAGGGTAAAGAAGTAGCTCACAACTGCCAAGGCCATTATCAAAGTACTTCATCTGAGAATCAAAGAACTGGGTGGTGGAGATTGCTGTGCTGGGTTGATCAGAGTCAGAAGTAACATCTTTGAGCCAGATGAGAAATGTTAAGCTGAGTGAAGTATACACTCAAAAGCATTTTGAAAAAGAAGGAAGAATGCTGATGCCCAACTGATTGCATACTCCACCTGTTTCAAATCTGGTATTTTGTTGTTCAGACAAACACGCAGTTCCAGTTTGGACCTTACCTGTCCATAACGAGGTCAGTGCTGGAAGTTTTATTCCTTTGATTGTTTTGTCTATATGTTTATTCATTTGAATGATCCCTGTCTGTGGTGTGAGGATCCATCCAGCAGGGATCAGTGGCAGAATGAGTTCTCTAGTGAGTCTTGCTGGGCAGTGATATTCAGGCTACTTCCTCTTCCAGAATTTGAATGGGATGGATGTTTTATGATCTTTAAGAAAAACAATATCAATTCTTGCAAACACGTCTCCTTTCTCCAGTGAGGCAATACTTAACAATCCTACTACTATCACACTAAGCATATTATGTATAAAAGCTTGGTTTAATACTCCTTTTAATGGTGATTTCTTATCTATATTGCTTGCCCCATTGTATTAGTAAACATATTGACAAGACTGCAGCTGTCTTTGGCAAATTAACAAGTTCACCTCTGTATGGAAAGCCAGCTCTGCTGAGGCATAGAGCAGACACATGAAATAGTGGCAAACTGGGCTTCTGCAAACAAATTAACATTACTTCACAGAGCAGTGCAGCCAGATATTCTCACTTTGACATAATAGCCCTATGTAATTCTCTTTTTCTAGCTCTGAGTTACCTTTTTTGACAGCCTCTTCATGAGGCACTAAATTTGCTTTTGACTGATTGAGGCCAAGTCAATCGCAAATCACACCGTCACATCTAGGAATTCATGAGTTTTCAGCTCTGTGAAAGTATTTCACCTTTATGAATTGACCATATGTTTGCTGGAAAGAAGACTCAGGTTTGAAAATCAGATTTTCTATGTATTGATTTAATAACTTTAAAGTAGAAAATATCTGAAATGTATCTGAATATAATGGCAACACTTAAAAGAAATGGCTACATTTCCAGTAGAATTTATACTTTCATGAAAAGCTATCATCCTAATTGGGAAAATAAAGCTCAAAGTACAACTTGTTCCATTCTCCTGGTAGAGAAATTCAGTGCTTAAAAAAACCCAGAACAGCACATTCCTTTAAAAGCATTGTTTTATGAAGCAAATGATATAAGTGTATATTTGGGGTTGGGTTCTCCTTGTTGCTGTCATTCCTCATGAAGTAGCCCAGCTCTCTTCGAGTCCTTAGCCTGTCACTTCTTTTGTACATCAAGTTTTCCACTGCCAGGATGTGTCATACCTCACCCACTCAGTTGTCCTGGGTAGTTCTGTGGCTGCAATTGTCTTCCTGACCATGAAATGATAACCATGCATCCCACTTAATAGCATGAATAGCTAGCACTTTCCTCCATTCTGGGTTCTACCACCTGTATCTTTTAGTCAGAAGCTTGACTAAAAATTTTATTGAGACAAATGTAGTAGTAATAGTAGAGATCCCAGGCAGATTGAATAGAAGTAATATGGGAGCCAGGACTCTGTGAGTGAAATCTGTTTTCTGTGCATAGTTTTGGAGGCAAATGTCTGATGTACAGGTGTTAAACAGACCATCTACCATCTTTCAAGGGGGGTACAACTCACTGCCTGGCTAGTTTTCACTTTCTTAGGCTATTTTCATACAAGGTAATTACCAATATCCAGCAAAAGGAGGGTTGTTTGGGGCTTTTCAAAGGGTTCTTGTAACAGCCCTGTGGCATGATACAGTAACTGCTCTTTTTCCTATTATATCCTTCAGGAAGTGTCTGTGTGACAAGAAAGCCACTTAACAATGAAAAAATTCACACTGTTTGATTTTGTAAATGATAATTCACTGCAAATTGGAGAGACTTCATGGATCCAGGACCTTCCCTGTGATGACAATGAACTAGAAAGACTTCTGAAACCTAATGAGCATGTGCTAGTAAACTGGCCTGTGGGAGAAAGAAAGACAGAAAAGCACCTGGTGAAAGTTGTGTACATGAGTGGTGAGTGCAGTTCCAGAACATGTGTCTGATATGAAACCTGCTTTTAAGGCCTGATTGTCTGTGCTTTGGCCTTTTTCCTTTCCATCACTTCAGATGACCCCCAAGAGCTGGTGGAAATGATGCAAAAGATATTACGAGCAGATGAAATTAGAAAAATACAAGTCCTTGGAAAAGGCAAGAGGAAGAGGATAGAAATGATATTCTCAGAAAGTGAGGACAGTGACCTGGATAAAGAAAAGGTGAGTTTATGTCTTTATGTGCCTTATATTGTTAGGTCCATAAAGGAATAAAATAGACTGTAGCTATTGATTCTTCATGATGTAACACACAAAGGATGTATAGTAAAGGTAGGAATACAGGCAGCCTTCACATGGTACCTCAGCACAATAACCTGTCAGAGAAATTACTTAGGCCAAGGATTTTGTCCTTTCCTGTGTCAAGACACAAGGCTTTGATGCTTTGTAGCTCCATTGCATTTTCCCCTGTAAGACAGATATCTGATTAGTGTGTAAAAAAGGGAAGGGAGCAGGTTTTCTGAGGTGTGCCTTGTGCTGAGATCGGCTGTGACAAAATATAGGCAAGGGAAACATAAAAGTTAATAAAGTTACAGATACATTTTTTAAAACTACTAACCAAGAATGTCAAGTGCGCAGTGAATAAAAACTTATGGTATATTATGAAATACCATAAGGAAAGGCTCTATAGGAATGCAAAGGCACTGTTATGCACTTTTTACAGGGGAAGATGATGAAACATATAAAAAGAAAGAAATCATTGCAGGCATCTGCTCCTGCCAACATCCTGAGTCAACTTGAAACATCTTTAATTAACAAACAGGTAACGTCTTTTCAGCAATTTTAATGTATCAAGCAAAAACAGCCTGAAAGGTATTTTTGAGGGAGGCATAGGATTTTTGCCATAGTGAAGTTAATAGTTCTAAAATAAGCTGCTTTGGAAAATTGGTGAATAGAGAACAGACAAAAGTACCTAACAGTTACATATTGCCCTGATGTTTCATTTTTAAGTCAATAAGAATACTAATAACTATGTTTGGTAAAGGCTTTTAAAATGCAGTGAGTCTGTTTAAACAAGAAATTTTTTTGATTTAGCAAGCTATCTTAATGTTAGTATTGATGCTTTGATTTTATGTTGCTGTTGCTCTAGATATCACAGTTGTTTGGGGTTTTTTCCAGAGAGAACCATATTCAGGAAGCAACTTTCTATATAGTGAAAGTAGCAGTGATGATGAAGAGCCTTTATTTCAACTCTCCAAGGTGGAACTATGTGCCAAAATTAAAAGTCTCAAGAGGAAGCTGACAGATACCATGAGAGAAAACTGCCGCCTAAGGCAGTCCCTGGTGATGCTTCAAGGTAAAGTTGGGAGTACTTTGATGAAGAGGAAAGCCTGAAGGTCAGGAAAAGCTTGATTTATAAGAGGCCATTTGGATGGGAATTATGGATGCTCAAGCACCTGACATGATCAAGGCCTACCATTAGCATCACAGTCTGTGATACATGGCAGCATTTAATTCCAGCAGCACTTACTGACTTACACAGAGGCCATGCAATCATAGAGTTAGAAATGAAAAATGTGTCTAAATCCTGCCAGATGTTCCCAAGAGAACCTTTCTGTATGCTGTGTAACTATTGGCTAAGCTCAAATACTTCAGTGACCACTCCAACTAACCTTATTTACTAGCAGTCTTTCTTGATCAGTTGATATTTCATTTATTCTGAAATTACTTAATTTCTAATTACTTTGGTGATTCCTCATTACTGATAATCTGAGTTAGTTTCAGATGCACCAAATTTAATTCTTTCCCAGAGATGAAAAATTTTGTTCCTCTGTAAATGAACTCTTCATCTCTTAGTGATCATCTCTGAAGTGCCTCTTACTTGTCCCTGTCCCTTACTCTGAGGCAGCCAAAATTGAATCCAGAATTTCAAACCAACAGTGAATGAATAAGGTTTATAGAGGATTTACTCCTTCCCATGCCAGCTACACCACACCATCCCTAGACAGTCTGGTGGTATCTGTTTGGGGTTTTTTTAGTGCCAGATGATTTTACAACTGTTTATAATTTTCATTTCCCATCTCATTGCATTTCTTAACTTATTTCTTAACTATATCTTGGTGTGAATCATTCATCTCCACCTTTTAAAATATTATTTGGAAACATTTTCTTTGTGTCTGACAACTTTTCTCACACATATAAGTCGATACCTTGCATCCTGAGCAATTATCTCAGTCTTTTACAGTATTTTATTTAATTTAGGGATTCTGTATCTTGCTGATTTGTCATCTCTTGCATCCTTTTTGCTCTGCCTTGGTTCTTCTTAATGGATGCAATAAAAGTTTATATTTGAAAATATTACTTTGAGGAAAGATTATTTAAAACATAATCTCTATGGATTAAAAAAAAATAAAAAGCCTCTGAAGTCTGTGTGACTTCTTTGAAGGATAAAACTCATCACTTAGCCCACATTCAATAGCTTTATGGACTTGTAGAGATTTTGAGATTGTAAAAAGAAAAAAGAGAAATAGTCTGTTTCATGCCAGGATAAGCATAAACTAATAGTTCCTCTTAGTTCCTTGCACTGAACTGATCTCTTCTAGAAACTGAGGCCAGATCTTCATGAGTGGGGACAGCAGAATGGCAGGAAAGCATTTGAGAGAGGAGGAAATGAAATGTCTTTGCTGACTACTTTGAGTCTTTTGCATTATGTGACAGGAATCTAATTGCAAAAATATCCCTGCGTATGTAATTGGAGTCTGAAAGCTTCCATTACTATTTTACCACTCACTTTTCATCTGATTTCAGTGTTGCCACAGGCAGTCACTCACTTTGAGGAGCTGGTAGGGATGGCTGAAGCGCTGCTCAAAGGAGGAGTGACATCATCTACATCCAGTCTGCATCCACATGCTGTTTGGAGGGCATCTCACAATCCATTAGCAGATTCCTATGCAGCTATGCATAGTAACTCCAGCTCACCAATAACTTTGAATGTGGAAGATGAAGAGCAGCAGACTGAAAAACAGGTCAGTTAAAAGGCAATTTCAGGCATGAAAGTATTATTATACAGTATAAATTTTACTGCTACAGCATAATATAAAAAATAACCATTAGTAAAATAATTTGTCATCATTGCTAATATATTGCTAATAATAACTAATGAGCTCTTTTTTTGAAGAATGCTCTTTCCATGAGAAGCATTAGAGTGTCCTGTACACTCTCAAATTCACTTTAATTTCAGTGACCTTGCATATCTGTGACTGAGGGCAGAATGTGGATGCATGAAGAAAATGCCAAGATCCAAGGATAACTTCCAGCCTAATTGTTTGGATGCCAAAAGGGAATAATAGTATTTCAAAGATAATCTAAGATGAATACCAGCAGTCTGTTAAAACTGTTAATTTGTAATTGGAGGCTGCTATGTTTCTTCTCCTGTTCCAGACACTGGCTAGCAGTTAAGTAGAAACACATGTATACAGAGATATTGAGTAGGGAAGTTCCCTTATTCTCTGCAATTATAACAGAACATGATAGACAAATCTAAGGCACAGAGGCTGTACATGGAAAAAATGAAGCCACAACCAAAAGAGTGATTCTAATGTCTGCATTCACTAGTTACATAAACATTATTGTGCATTGGGTCATGCTAATCCATGCAAATCATTCCTGTGTGTTGTCATGGAGTGCTAAAATCCAAAGAAGTCTGTTAAGAATTATTGTGGTGTGTTTTTACTGCATATTGGAAACCACAAAATTTGACGTAACATCTTCAAAGAAATAAAAAGACCTAAGCCTGCCTTATTTCATAGAGATAGCTCAAAATTGCCTATTAGGAGAGTTCAAACTCTGGCTGTACCACTGCTGCATGCTGAAGCCACAGTTCTTAGGGCATGTCTGCTCGCAGGCAGACCTAAGCCTGCCTTATTTCATAGAGATAGCTCAAAATTGCCTATTAGGAGAGTTCAAACTCTGGCTGTACCACTGCTGCATGCAGAAGCCACTCTCAAAGCCCAGGACCAGATGTCACAGTTCTTAGGGCATGTCTGCTCACAGGCGGGAATATTTGCTTGGGCACAGTGCCATGCTACCAAGGCAGTGCAGAAACCATGCCAGAACTGGACCACAGCCAGCCTGCATGGAGAGCAAGCAGAAGGATTTTGCTATGTCTGAACATGTCCTGTCTCCACTAGTGAGTAATGAGGATGCTGAAGGTTTTGCTAGGATGCATGAGGTCCTTACTGTACCCTACAGTTCCTTCTGGAAAATAATCAGGCTGTGTGTACAGTCCCAAATGCTGAGCAGTATGCAAGTGTGGTGTTATCTCAAGCACACTGTTTGCAGAGATTACTTTTGAAATTGTGGTTTAGAAATAGAAAATGAAAAAGATATTTTGGTGCTGATAGTATGTAATATTTCTAGAAATTGCAGTTGTTATGCCTGTGACCAATTTTGTTTTCCAGTTCAAGATCGAAAAGTGGCAGATTGCACTTTGTAACAAGAGCAAACCTCAAAAATTTATAAATGACTTGATGCAAGCACTTTATACACATGAATACATGGCTACACACAGCCTGACAGGTGCAAAATCCTCCTCTTCAAAGGATAAAGCGGCAAAACCAGCTATGAATCAGAATGAAGTTCAGGAAATCATAGGTGATGACTTGTTAAGTTACTCAGTGTGGCTCTGACTTGACAGGGGGGCTTGGAGGGAGGGGCTGTCATGCTTAGCAGCTGGTGTACTCAGGTGATGAGCTGCTTCTTATTTCCTTCTTCAGCTACATGCTTTTTTAAAACCATCTGTTAAAAATCCTGCCAGTGAAATGCTAAGTAGTAATATTTCTATTGTGTGAATTCTGTGAGTTTTATTCAGGTGACTGCTCAGAAATACTGGTATTGTAAATTGTTTTAGCCCTTGCAAAGTTAATCTGCAACAATCAAACTTGGAGCATGATGATAACACATAAGGAAAGGCAAAAAGAGGACACACTTGGATCAAATTTTAAATTATGTCTGCTGTGTTCTGAAGTTTGGTGAATGTTATGAATTCTGACATTTTAAATAGTGCCAGAGGCAATATGAGACTGTATAGAAGGCAGAAATAGTGATCAGAGAAGCAAACAAAATTTGATTTATGCTGAGGTTTACAGCAGAAAATATTTGGTGCATAGGACAGAAAATAATTTCAGATGGCAGTATTAGCTTTAAAGAAAACAGTATTTTGTGAGCATATGAAGCCAAACTTTAATTGGATTCATGCCTATAACTAAATACTAGAACAGTATAGACCTAATTACTGTACTATAATTCTTCCCCAATTGCCATTCCCTTGGACTTTGCAGTTCTCTTGGTTCCCTTCTCAGTTTAGCTCCAGTTCCTGTACTTTAGTACAGTTTTGTTGAAATTAGCGAGCAGTTTCAAAAGTTATCAGCTGCAAAAACCTTTTTTTCTTAAGAACCCTTTTTTCTAATCTAGTTAGAAAAAAGAGGCCCAAAGTCAAGGGAGATAAAAGGAAAGCGTGTGTAGGATGGTAAAAATATATTTAGAGGCAGTAAAGATCAGACAGTTTCAGAATGACATTTGAGAAAAAGGAAAGATATTTAATGGGATGAGAAAAATGGTAGGACTCAATCCTAATGGTCTTTTTCAATCTAAATGACTGTAAATCCTACTAGGGCCTAGACAAAACTGAAAAGGTAATCAGAGAATGGAATACAGCATGTTGTGGAGAATTCAGTGACAAAGCCTATAAAGAAATCAAAGAACTTTGTTAAAGTAAAAGAGAATACTCTGAAATTTAATCAGAAAAGTGTCAACATTATAGAAGAAATAAAGAAAAAATGAGAAGGAAGCTTGGGAGTTCTAGGACTGTATAAAATGAGTTAGTAAATTAGATTATTTAAAGAAGATGGAAATTGTAGGACTTCAAAATAAAATTAGATTAAAGGGCAGGGAAATCAAGGGAAGGGAAGATGATGGAAAAGAAGGGAGCAGGAATCACATGCCTCATGTTGAGTCCTGTTATTATTACATTGAAAAAATGTAGCCAGGCAAAACAGAAGGGAAATTTTTAGAAAAAGTGACATCACCTGCAAATGAAAACTAATGAGAAAAAATAAAGTAAGATTCAGAGTCATAAGGACTGATGAGGATGGGAAAAGGACTCTGATCAAGAACAGAACATAAGGACATAGGATTAGCAAGCACAAATCACTCACTACAGAAGCCCTTGTGGCCCTGGAGCTCCTTTTTAGTCTGCCCAAGAGCAGGCAGCAATGTGGAAGGCACAAAGAAAAACAGGAGCTGTGTAAAATCTAAGGAGTTTGTAAAGATTGTGAAATAACTAGAGTGGAAGCTGAAGTAGCTGGAACTTTAAAAGATGCAAGAAATATATTTTATATCACACATTTCTTGTTTCTCTTTTTTTGGAGAATCCATATACATATATATATTCTCTTTATTTTGCAGGAATCACAAAACAGTTGTTTCCAAACACAGATGATGCTTTAATTAGGCGAATGATGGGACAAAAACTGAACAATTGCACCAAGAAGCCAATTTTAAGCAAAGACCTTAACTCAGGTGCTTTTCAGAAACATAGTTTTTGGTAAGTCACATAAAAAAATGCCTACACTGTGTATTTCTGCATATTACTTCATAGTAATAAAATCTAAAAACAGTCTTAAAATTTAGATATTTGCCTACTTGGTATGTGCACTACCAAGCCAGTAAATATTTCCATAACCTTGTACAAAAAGTACATAATACAGAAGCATACATTACTGCACCAAAACAGTTATTGGTTCCAGACAAAGCAGCATAAAACTATTAAATAACAGGAAGATAAAACAGAAGGAAACACATGGAGTTGCTTTGCTGTCTATTTTAGATTTGACGTTATTTACATTTCTTATTAATTTCTGGTTCACTATGGACCAGTCAATTCCATTTTCATGTCACCAGTTGTATCCCCATTAACCCACAAATGAATTATAAGGAAAATCACATCTCTTTGGGATGTACTTATAAGAGTACTGTAGGTGAGCTAAGCTGGCAATCCTTTACTGCCAGAAGAGTTTAAATTATTAGGTCAGAGGAATTATTAAATAATATCTTACCTATTAGGGGCATTTTTGCCTTATGAATGAAACTAATACAAAATACCAAACTCATGGCTACGGTCGGTGAAGTCAGCTATTGGCACAGTGCTGTTTCCACGTGTTCCAAATGCACACATTGCAGAATGGTGGAGCTGGAAGGGACCTCTGTAGGTTGGCTGGTCCAGTCCCTGCTGTTCCAAGCAGGGTCACCCAGACTAGGTTGCTCAGAGCCATGCACAGTTTGGTTGAGTATCTCCAAAGGCAGAGACTCCACCACCTCTCCGGACACCCTGCGCCGCCACTCCCTCTCCCTCACGGTGTTGGCTGATGTTCACACAGCCTGTGTTTCCATTTCTGCCCATTGCCTCTGCTTCTGCCACAGGGCCCCACTGAGAAGAGCCTTCATCTACCTTGCACTCTCCCATCAGACAGTAAATCAGCTCGAGCCTTCTTGAGCCTAAACAGGCTCAGCTGCTGCCTCAGCCTCTCCTCAAGAACCCAATAAGAAATGAGCAAGGAACAGGACAAGAGACTGAAACAGGGTGACACGGAAAAGAGATTTGTCCTTACTTAGACTTTCTGTACTGAAGTAGCATTTTTCTTCTTCTTGGTTCACTTATCTCCTGCATGCCTTTAAAATCTGAATTTGAAACTGTAAGACATAAGGAAAAAAACCCTAAAAAAAAAAAACAAACCCAACAACAACTAAGAAGCACCCCAAGACATTTGTCTATGTTATGACACAAATGTTTGATTAGTGCTTTGCTTCTAAAATTCCTTTCCAAGCCACCTGGTAGTACTCCATGGACCACCAGTGATCTGTGAATTATTACTTGAGAAATACTTGAGAATAACTGTTAGGATATTCCACATGTTTTTCCATTTGGAAACAATAAACAATTGCACCAGCCTGGCAAAAATGAAGTTTACTATGTTCATGCTTTCCTCCTAGAGATGAGAAGACTTCATAAATTAAAGGTCCTGTGTATTTGTAATATACAGTATGCAATGATTCACTGCAGTGTTTTTTCCTTGCCCTTAACAGAGACATGAAAAATAACAGCACAAAACCACAGATTTTTTTCTTCTTTGAAAGTATTAAAATCTTACATATTTTCAATCTTTATCTTCATCAGATGGATTAATACATTTTGCTAATTCATGAGTCTTCTAATGTACACAGTATTCCTGAAGCCTTGATAGGAAAACCTTAACTATACTAAAACAATTCTGAGTTGCTATTTAATATTGCCTATGGACCTTCCAATTTAAACCCAATATTTTAAAAATGCCCTTTCAATATGTTAAAAATGCCCTTACATCTGTTATTGATCAGTGCTTATGTAAAATCCAATCCAACATCCATTGTGACCAATTCAGATATTGCCTGAATACCATCTTTTGAACTGATGCATTTATAATGGATTTTTTTTTTACATCTGTTACACATTCTTTCACTGTCAAAGCAGTTAAGCACCATCTAAGTAATCAAGATAACATGGTGATTCCATTAACTCAGATGACACATATTCTCTGTAAGAAAAGTAAGACAATTAAAAAGTGCAAAGCAGTTAAGCACCATCTAAGTAATCAAGATAACATGGTGATTCCATTAACTCAGATGACACACATTCTCTGTAAGAAAAGTAAGACAATTTAAAAGTCATAATCTCACTGCTACTCCTTCAGGCCACCTTCCAGCAATAAAGTACAGAGAGGGGTAGAGAAAATTCTGTTGTGCAGGACCTTTAGTAACCATTTATCCAAACAAGTTACTAACTTTAAAAACTGGTGTTGCTGCAGCTTTTATTCCTCCCTTGCTGCTATTTCCTCCTTACTCACCTTCTCCACCTTTCCCCAAAGCAGAATTATGATCCAAAATAAATAATATGGAACAAATCCAATGAGACAGACAAATTTCCATCTTGGATCCATGAAGCTGAGATGAAACAAGGAAAAGGGCAATGTGACAGTGAACAAATTTAGTTAGCTAGTAAACAAACTCTGCAACTTGGAAACCAAGAACAGTACTAATTGCACATTTAATGTTAATATCTCAAATTTCGTTATAAATTGTCTTGACAGTGGTTCAACAGCTGCTCCTCAGGGCATCATCTCTTCGGCTGTTCCTCCTTGCACACAAGACCAGCAGGATGATGATTCACCAGCTGCTAATGCACAACTTCAGCAAAGTGACAGCTGCCTGACTCCTCCACCTCCCACCCCAGAAGGTCAGCAGGGGTGGCCCAAACCTGCTTCTTCCAAGGTGGAGTCTCAACTCGCCAGCAGCTCACCAGCGACCTCTCCCAACCAGGGTTGTGGACAGGATCTCAGGAATTCAGACAAGGAATAACAGGTGTTTCATTCCAGCTCACATGCTGAACAGAGATTAAGAAACAATATAAAATAAAAAGTAAATAATATCTAAATTGCACTAGATATATGGTAGTATCCAACAGTGGACAGAAATAGAAGCCTGAGAATTTTTTTTCTCAAACAAATGAAAAGCCCATAGTCTAGAAAAAAAAATTGAAGGCATATTAATATATTTGAATTTAAGATGTTATGAGATATATGCATGTTATGCAGTAATTAAAACTTGTACTGAAAAATACAAGTAGAGTTCCCCTTAGTTAGAAAAAAAAAACATTATTTAAAGTACTACCAAAAGAATATATATGAGGAACCATAATTCCCCTTGCTTTCACCTTGACAGCTGAGGCAAAACTGCTTAACTGAGCAAAGAAAATTATTGTATATTAATGCAAAAAAGATATAGTTATATGGAGAGAAAATAGAAAGATCTCCTAGTGAAATGAAGACTGGCCAGCACAGGGCCACATGAGCAGAGAAGAAGAAATTAAATAGATGTTTAAGGCTGCTACTAACTTGGAAAACGAAATAACTTTCTTAGGCCAATGAAACTACAACTTTTAAGATATCCACAGGAAAGAAGCTGTTATTTTTTAACCTCTCAGAGTAGGAAAGGCAATGGAAGAAGCCATATTCCTTTGTAGCTCAGGGAAGAGACCTCCAGGAGAGCCTGTTTAGTTATGGAAGACATTCTCTTGCAGGGATTCTGTTGCTGGTACTCTGCTGGTTCAGCAGCTCTTAGTCCCTTCTTCTTCCCTGACCATCAAGTCCATAGGATAAGGGTGCCTGCTTCCTTCAGTGGGAAATAGATGACATTTCAGCAGTAGCAACTAGTACCTTAGTCCCTTCTTCTTCCCTGACCATCAAGTCCATAGGATAAGGGTACCTGCTCCCTTCAGTGGGGAAATAGAGGACATTTCAGAATAGCAGAAGCAACTAGTAAAGGGCAGAGTTGCCAGCTTCTACTCCCTGTGTTTTGATTTTGGTATGCTATCCCTTGCTCAGAGAAAAGGTGGACAGGCAGAATATTCCTCATGGGACTAGGACCAGAAAAATCCCAGCATCTGGGCAGTTCCCCTTGGGATCTGATACCACTTCTTCCAGGAAGCAGCTGGCAGTCACACAAACCCTATAACAGCCTTAGGAGGAGGAGTGGAAGATACAGGCTCCCCAGGGCCGTGGTCACAGCACCAGCCTGACAGAGTTCAAGAAGTGTTTGGACAATGCTCTTGGGGACATGATGACTCTTGGGGTTCCTGTGCAGGGCCAGGAGTTGGACTCAATCATCCCGATGGGTCCCTTCAAACTCAGCATATTCTGTGGTTTTATGATTTTTTTTCCCTTGCTGACAGATTTCAGGTTCCCAGTGTGCTGACATGGGACTATAGCTTTCCTGTTTGAGTGTACTTCTCCCAGAACTGAGAGTACTATTAGCTGAATCTATTTCAAACATGGCACACAAGCAACTAACAAATCAGACTGGAAAAATGAAATGACATTTTGTTGAAAAAATCTAGCTTGATTTAAGGAGGATTTTAGGACATGTGAGTTACTTTAATAAATTTGAAATAATATTAGGGTGAATGCTGAAAAAAAAAATCTGAAAATAAGGTTATCGGCAAAATACTGCTGAAGGGAAGTGCTGCAAATCTGACTGTTCTGCAGCAAGCCACTAATAGAATGCACTGTGGAGAAGACTTGTTTGTGAGCTGGGTACCCATTAAGTGATTTGCTATCCTTTTTCATCTCTCACCTAACAAATCCTTGTAGATAGGATCAGGATGAAAGCAGGTATGAAATATGTTAGTTCTATCTCATGCTATTAACTACCATCTATAAAATGTAACAGAAGGATGTTTGCTATTATGTAAATTTTGTATATGTAATTGTATGTACAGCATATATAATAATGTATATAGTTAATAATATTTTTGAAGCGCCTTTCTATCAAATAAAATGAAACATTACTATGTCTTAGTGCTGTTTTATTGTCCTCACTGTCTAATGGGCCTTTTCTTACACCACCTCTGTGGTACACTGTAACATACAAGGTTGGGGTTTTCTTTCACTCGTTTTTTGTGGCTTTTTCTTTCTCTTTAATAACTGTTCTGAAGCCAGCTTATGTAAAGCTTGTCATTTTACCTGCGGAAGGGGTTGGCCTACCTTACAAGGGCACTCTAGCCTTAAAGTTGTCACAGCTGATGTTGCACAGCTGCAGCTGCTCTGCCCTTCAGGAGGTGCTAAAGCCCTTGGGCAGGTAGATGGAGCTGAAAGTGAGCAGCTGCTCTCCCTGTGGCTGGTGCAGCGCTGCAGATCCCGCTGTGCTTTGTGCTTTTCTATTCTGCTGGCTTGGTGAGTTGTCAAAGGAAAACCACTGGGGCTGGCAGCTCACCACAAAAAGTGGAGGAGGAGTTTCATGGTAGGGTGGAGGACCTGCTCCCAGGCATGGGCCAGGGAGATAGGTAGGTATTCTAGACAAAAGGAACAACAAATAGGAGATATTTTAATGTGGTAACAAAGGATAAAAAGTGAGCGAGCTGCAAGAAGATCGTTCCTTCCTCTTACTAAAGTAGAGAAACAATGTTATCCCACTGGATGACAGGAGATAAATAGCTGTTACACAACTATACCATTAACAAAAAAGGGCCATATATATCTCTTGTAGTGTGACCAGGAAGGTACAAAATACAAGGGTTTTTTTTTTCAAAATTACCCTGACAAACTCAGAGAATACAAAATTGAAGACTAGATAATCATAGATTAGAAACTTCAGAAGGAACAGAAAGGGATATCAGATCAGTGTAATACTGCTTCTCCCCAAATTTACATTAAAATAAAAATTAATTGGCTGTAGGTCAATGTGTGGTGTTCCAAAGTGTAAAATTCTGATATGAGCAGCAGAGGGCACATTATTTGCAGTCCTCAGAATGGGAGAAGACTGATGGCTGCTACAGAAGCTGTAGTGGTATTAGACTGTATGGCAATTAGTAACTGGATATTTATTGCTGAAAAGGTAAGCAATACTAAAACTAATAACATGAACTATTTATTTCTGTTACTGCATATTAGATTGAATTTGAAGGTTAGCATGGAAAAAAATTTGATAATATCATGAAGTGCTCAGAAGAGCGTTAGTTTCTAAGATGGGAAGAATATTGAGATATATGAAGAATTGGATAAAAACCTTACTGAAAAAGCATACTGTTGAATGAATCAGGGAGTTTAATGCATGTTGAAATCATGTCCCCTGTTATTAGGGTATATAGATAGGAGTGAAAAAACCCAAACCACCAGATATCTAAATGTCCTAGATCAAGAGTAAATGGCAGTACACATGTTGATACAAGAAGGAAATCAATGATTATAAAGGCAATCAGTGTTTCACTTAAGGGAGCAATGAGAGAAGCAAAAATGTTGAAATATGTTTGAATTAGAATCATAGAAATGTTCAGGTTAGAAGGGACCTTAAATACCATTTAGTTCCAACCCCCCTATCATGGGCAGAGACATCTTCCACTACACCAGGATGCTCAAATCCCCATTCAACCTGGCTTTGAACACTTTCATGGACAGGACATCCACAATTTTTCTGGGCAACCTGTTCCAGTGCCTTACCACCCTCACAGTAAGGAATTTCTTCCTAATAATATTTCATCTAAACCTACTCTATAATTAAGGGCATATAGGGAATATGTGGACTTAGTTGCTAGAGAGCATTACTAGAGAGTTTATAAAGATCGTCTGCTCTGAAACAGCTTCCACATCTTATGTGATATCTAGACTTCATTTGAGCTTTGGTCTTGGAGATCTTATGAAGAACTCACAAAACCTCTACTTCTCCTTTCCTCACCTCCCCTACCCCCCCCCCCAGAACAAGTTCTGCATAAGAACATTCCTAGGCTGGCCAAAAGCCAGCCTGTTCTTTATCTAATTCCTGTTGTTTCAGAGGAATTAGACGAAATACACAAATTTTAGAATTCAGAGATTTGTTATCATATTGGAAATTATTGCATGGCAAATCCCTTACTATTTTTTTTTCCTTAACTGTATTGTTTACATACAAGGAGGAAAGTTGGACTGGTCATTGCAAGAGTAAACATTTACATGAATGACTACTGAAAAATTCATATTTAAATAAGCATCATTTGCAAAGGGTCTCAGACTTTGGAAATATAATTCCACCATGCTGCCCTAGTAACTTTTTCCTACAGGTTCTCATATTATCTGCTCTCAAGAATCAAAAGTTATCAAGTGCAAATACAAGCTACAAACAGAATGACTGCTATCAATGTTCTGTTAGCAAATTCAAATGACAAGTGCAAAATATTAAATTTTAGGCAGCAACAATGATTTTCCAAGAGGCAGTCAGGTTTCCATTATTTTAATAATGAAATAAAAGTAAACAAATGAGTGTTGTTTATACACTCTAACAAGAGTGATCAAGTCATACAGCTGTTAATGAGTATATAACTAGTTGATACAACTAGTAGCTCAGTATGTCTATCTTCTATCATAAAGCTGTTTTTACATTCATATGGAAAGAGGCTTAAAACTATCAGTAACTCTGTGTTTTCAAGAAAAATAAGTGCACTAATTAATCCTTACAGTATGTGATATGATATTGCTGATAGTTGCTTATTCTCTTACATTACACCAAAATTTAACGTGCAACCTTGAATTCTTTCTCTCCTGTGTTTACAGGATTTGATAAGCACTCACCAGTGAAGTGCTCTGCGGGTGTGCAAGCATGTTTTTTATACTGACATGCAATTCACAGGTGACATTTACACTGTTCAGCTTACTCAAACCCAAGGCATTGAGTAAAGATGATTCATACTGACTTTGGGTGGCAAAAAGAAGCAGGAGAGCAGTAGCAGATAAATAGCAAGAATCATGGGTGTGATGGTCTGAGTGATGTTTTCTCAATCCTGGCAGTGAGGGGGCACTGACAGGACAAGTCAATACTTGTTGGCAGCATGTGTGTTGGTGACAAGGATTTGAGTTGTATGACCCTGCTTGCAAATCACGTTCTGCTTGACAGAGATGAGATCCACCTCACTAAGCAGGGCAAAGCTATTTTTACCAGATGGATCATGACCACATAAGCAGAGACTTAAACTAAGAATTGAGAGAGTAACCAGCAGCCTTGTGGGGGATTGATGGACACAGAAAAAAGCAAAGGGCATAAGGCGATGTGGCAGGAACAGAACACAAAATCAAGACGGAGCTTAGGAGAGGTCACCTTCAGCTCTTGAATGTAAGCAAGGAAATGTCTACGAGACACCATAATGGAGAAATCTCCCAGTCCTTTTCTAGATAGGAGCAGCCTTGTGTTTGCAAGCCCTGGTCCTAATGTGGGAGTTCAATCATTTAGACATTTGCTGGAGGGACAATACAGCAGGACATAAGCAATCCAGGAGGTTTCCGTTTCAAGTCATAAAGGAGTCAACAAGGACCAATAATGAGCAATGCTTTGTTGGACATATACCCATGAAGAGATTGTGGGAAATGCAAAGCTCAAGGCAACCTTGGCCACAGTGAGCACGAGATGGTGGAGATCCAGATCCTGAGGGGAGTGTTAAGAATAAAAAGCAGGCTCACCACTCTGGAGAGTGAGTTTTGGTGTCTTCAAAGACCTGCCTGGAAGAGCCCCATGTGATACAGCTCTGGAGGCAAGAGGGGCCCAAGAAAGCTGGTTAATATTTAAGGATAACTTCCTCCAAGCTCAGTGAACAGGAACTTAGGGAAAAATGCCACGAGGCCTTGTAGATGAACAAGGAATTCCTGGTCAGACTCTAACACAAACAGGAAGCATACAAAGCATGGAAGCAAGTTTACCTCAGAGAAATACAGAAACATTGCTCAAGCATACAGTGATGAAGTTAGGAAAGATAAAGCATGACTGGAATTGGATCTAGCTAGGGATGTTCAAAGACAACAAAAACGGCTTTGATAAGTACCGAGGTGACAAAAGGAAGACTAAGGAAAAGGTAGGTCCATTGCTAAATGAGACAGATGATATAGTAACACAGTAGATGCCTCAGTCTTCACTAGCAAGACCACCCTTCACAAATCAGGGGAAAAGGCTGGACCAAGGAAGATGTACCCTTAGTGGGAGAGGATCAAGCCAGAGAATACAGCAAGAACATTAGCAAACTGGGCATATGCATGCTGAGTCTATGGGCCCTGACAGGATACACCAACACGTACTGAGGGTGCTGACAGATGTCGTGGTGAGATCACTCTCAACTATCTTTCATGGATCATGATGCCTGGGACTGCTGCCTTAGGCTGGAGGAAAGCAAATGCCACCTATATCTTCAAGGAGGGCAGGAAGGAGGAAGGCAGGGAGAACCACAGGCCAGTCAGCCTCATCCTGATCTCTGGGAAAGTAATGAAGCAGCCAATCCCAATAACCATTTTCAGGCCTCTCAGTGACAAGAAAATCATTGAGTTGTCGGTATGGCTTTACCAAGGGGAAATCAGGCTTGACCAGACTGACAAACTTCTGTGATACTGATTGCCCTGGTAGATGAGAGGAGAAACGACCATTGTATATCTGGAGTTCACTGCCCTTGGGAACCCCTCCCGCAAGATCTTCACAAAGGACCTTGCAGCTGCCTGGGCTGGATCGGCACCGTGTGAGGTGCCTGAGCACGGGCGGGCTGAGCAGGCACAGCACGGCTGAGGCAGCGGACAGCGCCCGGGCCCGGAGAGGCGATTTTGGCGCCTTCCCGCCCCTCGGCTGCCAGCCCCAATAGCCGCCCTTCCTCCTTCTCTTCCTCCTCCCCCGGAAGCGGAGTGCGGCTTGTCCCGCTCCGAGCCGGAACTCGCTGCTGCCTATCTGAAGGCGGACGAGGGGAGGCCGGGAGAAGGACAGAGCCCAAAAGAAGGAAAGAGCCCGGAGCGCCGGCCCTGGGGCCGCGCCATGGTGCTGCCGCGGTAGCGCCGGCACCTGCCATGGGGAACGCGGGGCGCGGCGGCGGCACCTCCCGATCCCGGCGAGCCGTGCCGCGCCCTCGCCCCGCCCCCGGGCGGCGCAGCGGTCGCGGGCGGGGCCCGGCCCGGCGAGCCGCAGCACGGGCAGCGCGCTGTGCGGAGCCGCGGGGCCGTGCGGGACGGGAACGTGAGTCAGCAGCGCAGCCCCCGCCGGTGTTTTGGAGCAGGAAGCTCAGCCCTCTGCCGCTGTCCTAGAGCGGCCCAAAGCAGCCGCAGCTGCTGAAATCGCCCGAGCTCGCCCGCGGCTGTTACGGGCCGGCCTCGGCTCGTCGGTGGCTGAGCGCCGCTAGGCTGGAGCTCGGGTCTCGGCTCTTGCTGGGGTTCCAGGCTCAGGCATGTCCTTGGGCTGCTACACTGCAGCTACGGCTGCTGGAGGAGTGTAGGTATTGGCATGCTTTGTAGATAAAACCACATAATTGGAAAAATACAGTGGCGTGATTCGAGTCAGAGTCGTTTATCACCTCCTGTGGTGTCACTGGTAATTGGGAGTGAATGATAGACACTTGTTGAATACAAATAGACCGCAAAGCCAAAGAAGGCGTAAAATGGGAAATGCTGTACAGTTAAACGAATCTTTAAAAGTGAAATTATATAGTATGATTTGTTTATGTTTAGATAATGGAGTCTCATAACTCTGACAGCCTTCGCAAGAGTAAATCACCAGCTTCTGGAAGTGAAGACGAGATTGAGTTCATTGGAGTAAGTAGAGCTTGTACTGGAAATGCCCTGGTTGTTGTAAAAAATACATTTTCAGTAGTCCAGTAAACAGGAGAGGGGTCTTCGTTGACTGATGAACATGAAGATAATCACTCTTGAACATTAAGATAATTTCATTTGTGAATGTTTGTGGCAGATAACAACTCGATCTTAAAGGTTTATGTGCACTTTCTTGGAAGGGTATAAGATGATGTCAGTTGGTCCTGTGGAGAAAATGCAGTCTAGAGTATCTGAGCAGGTGAGGGGGGTATTACAGTCATCAGTGAGGTATGTGAGAAGGGACTGTAGATAACTTTCCTGGTAATCGTATTGTATAGCATTTTGCTTTATGAATAGTCCCTCTAAAGTTAGTTGAATAAATCATTGCTCAGTCTGCCAATCAATGTTGAAATCACTGTACTCAGTGTAGAAGAGGAAGGAAAAAATGGGTTAGAGGCCTTAAACAATCCTCTCAAATTGTGAGGTGCTCTTTATTGTACAGCACCTAGTCTAATGCTGACATGCTTTGTGTGAACGTAATTTTAAGACACTTGCATCTGTTGGCTGTCTGAGAGAAGCAGAATGTTTTTCATGCTGCCTGTGTTCTGGCCTCAGTCTGTCATCAGTGAAGTGGTGCTGGATGGCAGGATTACCTAGGATCATAGAATTGTTTAGGTTGGAAAAGACTATTAAGATTATTGAGTCCAGACATTAACCCAGCACTAAACCATGTCCCTAGGAGCCATATCTACACATGTAAAGATGTTTTTCTTGAAGGAACAAATCATGTTCCTAAGGTCAAGTGATTCAATGATGCCAGTATTTTTAGTGGCTGGTTTTTTGTCTCATTTTTTAACAATATGCTGAATGATTACCAAATTCCCCACCCCCATTTTGTCTGGTGTTTGATTAAAACCAAAGTTCAACATACAGACTTTTCCTGCAGGGGTATTTAGGTGCTCTAGTATGGAGGATAGGTGGTTTTTTTGCAAAAATTATAAGTAGTTGGTTATCTCTGAGACATACTAATATTTTGGTTGATTTGGGCATAACTGGTTGAGTTCAAAGTTCATTATATACACACAAGTATCCATGTGCATCTGCAGAGAAGGACTTGGGGTTGTTGGTGGATGAGCTGGCAACATGTGCTTGCAGCCCAGAAGTTCCAGTGTGTCCTAGGCTGCATGAGCTCCGAGGTCCTCAGCACAGGAAGGACATGGACATGTTGGAGTGAGCCCAGAGGAAGGACTAAGAGAATTGGGATTGTACAGTCTGGAAAAGAGAAGGGTTCAAGGTGACCTAATTGCAGCCTTCCAGCACCTAAAGGGAGCCTGCAGAAAAGATGGAGGGGGCTTTTAACAAGAGCATATAGTGAGAGGACAAGGAGCTTCAGACTAAGACTATGTTTAGATTAGATACTAGGAAGAAATTAATTTCTGTAAGAGTGATGAGGCACTGGAAGAGGTTGCCCAGGTAAGTTGTGGATCCCCCCCATTCCTGGGAGCGTTCATGGCCAAGCTGGAGGGAGCTTTGAGCAGCCTGGTCTAGTGAAAGATGTCTCTGCCCATGACAGTGGGACTGGAACAAGAGGATTAAATTAATTTCTGTAAGAGTGATGAGGCACTGGAAGAGGTTGCCCAGGTAAGTTGTGGATCCCCCCCATTCCTGGGAGTGTTCATGGCCAAGCTGGAGGGAGCTTTGAGCAGCCTGGTCTAGTGAAAGGTGTCCCTGCCCATGACAGGGGGATTGGAACAAGAGGATTTTTTCCAACCCAGACCATTCTATGATTCTGTGATGGTGACTGAATAGGCTTCATTTTCTTCAAGGTGGGCAGTGAACAAAGATAGCTTGTATAGCTTGCAAAGTGTAATGATTGAAGGGCTGCTGGAGCACCACAAACAGTAACTGAAAGAACTGAAACAAAGGAACTAAAATCAACACTTCTAGCTACCTTTTTTTGTCTTTGGCTTTGCCTCTGGATAGTAGGGATCCTTTATGGTCTCAGTGGCTGTTGCTTCCAAGAGAGGCTGCTATATGTAGGAAGGTGACTCTGCTCAAATTTTTTGCAGGATTTATATCCTGGGGTGAGTAGCTTACTGTTGTAATTGATGAATATGAGAGGAAAGGTGTGTCACCCTGGCCATCACCTAATATCAGCAATATGTCTTCAGATCTCATTTGCTCCTCTGATTGAAGGTGACTTTGGACTTTGCAAAAAGATTTCTAAACTGCTTGGCAAGCTTTAGATCTTCATTTCCATATAATAATGTGTATGACTGGAAACTTACAGTCTTCATAAATGTTATGGATGGATGCCTCCTGATTATCTGCATGTCTTTAAGACCCAGTGCACAAGATGGTACTGTTTACATTGAGTTAGAGAAGCTACTGGGGTATCTCAACCTGTGCTCGTTTTGATAGATAACAAGTTGCTGTAGGCCATGTGATCTGTGTTTTTCTTCCTTTTTCTCTTTTTTTTTCCTTCTTGACAGTCAGATGTGACTTTGGTGTGGGTTTTTTGTTTATGTGATCAGTTTTTCTTTGTGGTTTTGGGGTGTTTCTTTTCTACTTCATTCACTTGTACTAGGGTGTTTGTATTCATGCTGTAGAACTATGCTTTTGCTCCGTCAAATAAGGATTCTTTGTCAATCTGCTGCTGCCAAAGATTTTCAGCTTTTGCAGTCTGATTCACCCTCATTCAAGAAACTTAAAATAATTCTTCCATAATTTTCCGCCTTTTAGTTCTTTGTTAAAACATATTTTGTCCATTTAAAATCATTACATTTTAAGCTTTACATACCACCAGAGAAATATTATTTAATCTACAGTGCAAGCTGTTACTCCTGTGTTCTTAACATAGGATGGTCTTGCCCCATTTTGCTTACTTGGGAAGGATAAGGCAAGAGTAAAGAAATTGACATTTTTACTGGCCTGTGAACAAATAGATAAATAATTCAAGTTGCCACAGTTGGCACCAAAAGCATTGGACTTAGAGGAGAGTTAGTTAATATACCAAGTCAAGTAATGCACTAAAACATGGTAGTTACCAATTAAAGATTTTGCTTCCTTTACCTCTGTAGTGTTAAATATTAGATACTCAGAATGAAGGATTTGTCTTTCTGGCTTTTAGTTGCATCACAGCAGGAGCTGAATAAAATGGTAGTGGTGTTAGGAAGCTACTCTTATTTCTGCACCTATCCAAAGTCATCCAGGGTCTTGAATTTCTGTATTGCCTAGGTTATAGAGTGAGAATTTATTAACTGCATGTTGGTTCACAATGTTGGTCAGTTCTTAGCAGCCTTAAAAGTTGTAAGTCTGCTGGGACACAGATTTAGAGTACAAATAGTGTAACTTGTCTTAATTTTTTAAAATTTACTTTTATATGAACTTGTGATAATAAGTATTTTTGCATGTGTATACACAATTATTCTCATAATTACTTGTCAAATATAAGTTTGTGGTCATATACATGAAAGTTAGATTCCCATTTTCTGTATGCTAGTTTGTGTACAGTTATGCAGAAGTTTAATTGTGCTGTAAGTAAACTGGGTAAGTATTTTTGCATGTGTATACACAATTATTCTCATAATTACTTGTCAAAGATAAGTTTGTGGTCATATACATGAAAGTTAGATTCCCATTTTCTGTATGCTAGTTTGTGTGCAATTATGCAGAAGTTTAATTGTGCTGTTTAAGTAAACTGGACATTTGGTCTGAATGCACATAAAGCTGAAACAACAAACAAAACACCTTGCATGGTATGTCAGTGCACAAGGTGTGTGTTAGCCAGGCCAGATCACCCACAGATGGAGTGAAATGAGGAAGGGCATGAAAGAGAGAACACAGTTTAGGGCTTTCAGAAAAAAGTTTGGGATAAAAATGAGCTTCACAGAGCAACTTGAGAAGTAACTCTCCTCAGAGATGAATATGAGGCTTCATCATTGCCAGTCACAGTTAAACAAATATGATTGTATTAACAGTTAAACTGGGTATTTTGCACAGTATAGGGAAATTACAGTTCTGTTGATGCTTTCTGGCAAAGCTGTGAATAACAGCAGAGATGCCACACCTGCCTGGAGAATTAACAACCTAGAAATTCTTCTACTCACAGAAGTAACTGTGATTTTTGTTTGTTGCTCAGTGGCATGGCTGTTGGTTTGTGAGAAGAATGACATTTGAAAATTGTTTAGGGAAGTAATTTAGAAGTGGATCATGTTGGGGGTTGGGGGATTTTTTAGGTTGGGTGTTTGTTTGGGTGTTGGTCTTTTCTTTGGGAGTTTTGGGGGGGTTTGGTTTTTTAGAAGTGGATCATGTTGGGGGTTGGGGGATTTTTTAGGTTGGGTGTTTGTTTTGGTGTTGGTGGTCTTTTTTTGGTATTTTGGGATTTTGTTGGGTGTTTTTGGTTTTTTTTTCTTTAAATGTGAAGGATCTGCTGATAAGATGTGAAGAGTGAGCATATCTTAGTGTTGAATATTTTATGTCTCTGGGTGCCCAGTATGTGAGTATAGTCAGCTAGAGAGGTCCCAGCTTTCAGCTGTTTATGGACAGCTTGTCCATATTGGTTTTTTTACATCACAGACTCTTTGTTGTCGAGATTTACTCCCCCACTCATGCTGTGGGGAGTTTACAACAGGTAGGATGAAGCTCTCTGATCCTCAGCTTCTTAACTCTCCTATAGTGATGGAATTCTCAGGGTTGGCATCATATTTGCATTACTCTTTAGTTGAACCATCTGGAAAATAAAGTAATTAAAACTCTCATAACTTTCAGTTTGGGGCTTGTCCTGTGTGGAGGTAAACGGTGCACAAAAATTGCATAGAAAAAGGCACAGAATTTGGGAGGAAAAAGAACATTTCATGTGTGCAGAAACATTTAAACAAGTGTAATATTACTTGTGTTAAATTTATTGTTTAGATCACTTGAACTTTTAGGCTAGAAAGCAAGTCACTCTGCATTTCAGCTGCCAATGTTGTAAGTTTTCATCAATTGTTGAGCCCTGAGAGTAAGTAAACACAAATAAGAAAAATCTCTGCCCATGAAGATGCTGTTATGATCAGAGCTGAACATTTCAAAACATATTATTGAACTGATTGGACAGTCAGATGGTCAGAGTGTGTCTTTGAACTCTTACTTGCTAACACCTGTGTAATAAAGGTTTAATTTCTTCAAAGCATTGCAGAGCCTGTCAGTTTCTACATAAGCAAATCTCCAGTGTAATTTTTTTAATATTTTGTTCAGAAAACCATGTTATCTTTATTTAATAATAGAGTTACTCTTTGTGGGTAATTGGAGGCTGGCAGCTTGATTCATAGAAACTTTTGTCATCTGTGCAAGATTTCATCCCTCTTCTCCCCAGTGAGACAGAGGACTATTTGTGCCTGGCCAGCTGAACAGCTTTACTGCCTTGAAAGGTGGAAGAATGTAAAGAATGAGATGCATTAAGAGCAGCAGAGAGGATTCCGTGCTGCTATGCTGCTTTTCTCTCTGCTACTCATCATGAGGAAGTAGGTCATCCTAGCCTGCCCTACGTAGATGATTGTTGATATCTTGAAGAAACTGCCAATACATGGCAGAGATAGAACATTTTATCTCTGAGGAAGGCAATTTAATGCTTTTGTGTGAGTGTTTTTAACACTTTTTTTCCAGGAAGGACCTTTAAGGCCTGTCCTTGAATGCATTGATCTCGTCAGCAGTGAGGATGAAGAACCTAACAGCAGTTCTTATTTTCGTGTGAGTATATTGTAATGTATTTTGGAACATCTTGGTGTAATAAAATAATTGGTCTTGTGTATTTTTTCCCATCAGTTACTCTTCACAGAAGCCTTGTTAGATGTATTTTTAACAAGTGCTAAATAACGAGTACTGAAATACCTTAATTTTTCTACTTGCTTTTGAGTGAGAAGCAAGAATACCAGCACTTCACTTTTTCCAGAGCCATTTTTTTTCACCTTGAAATGACTTGGTACTTTTATTTGTCTTTCAGTCATCTGAAAAATGTTTGGAAATAAAATGTCACTTTACATGCAGCCTTGGAATTCAGGGTGTCCAGTTTCTATCCTGAAAACATACCTGGTCTACTACAAGACCTTTTCTTTCTAAAATAACTCTTTAGGAACAATGTATGGGTTGAATGACCTTATTCCAGTGACAGTCTGGGTTTAGCTCAGTCTAATCATTCATAATCCATTCTAAGAATGTACAAGTCAGAAGCAGGCTCCTCAGTGTGTCTGTCCCCCAAACTTATTTTGCCTGCTCTGCAAGGCCTTTGAAAGTGACATTGATAGACTCTACTAGAGTTGGTTTTGGCAGCAGTGACTGTCTTTTGACTTTTGTTTTCCTGTGTTGCAGCAGAGGATGTTTGTAGTAAACCTGATTCTTAAGGAAGGGTGATCTTCTGTTACATGCACAGGCTGTCATTACAGGGATCATTACTAGAGCTGACTGTAAGAAGAGCAAACTACAGTATATGGCCTATCCTGTAGGCCAGAAATAGCTCATCCTCTGCCTTTTTGAAGACAGTGGGCAGTGTTAGGGAAAGAACAATAGCAGTTTTCAGGTTTTTTAGATGGGCTGCGCGTTTGATTTGGAGTCAGGAGGGATTTTGTTTACTTAGAAGAACTTACTTAACTTTTCATTTGTTGGAGACTTGTAGGACACTCAGCACAATCATGCATGTTCCTCTACTGCATGGTGAGACTAATGTTTGTTGACTTGCCTTGAATATGTGTGTGGGGGGTGTTTTTGTTTGTTTTTAACAGAAGCTACGGATGCTGGTAAAAAGGAAGAGAAAGCTACAAGGTAGCTGATGGAACTTAGCCTAAGAGTTATCTTTACTGAATTATGTTGTGAGGGCATCACTTTTTGCTGTATTAGTGTCTGTTACATAACAATCACCAAATAAGAGTCTAACTCCCAATTGCAGAGAAATACTAAACGTAAGGATCACATTGACTATCAGAAGGAACGAGTTGCATCGACCCTGGATCGTCTGGCACGCCATGTTGAAGTAGAGAAACAGCAAAAAGAAGAGAAAAACAAAGCCTTTAAGGTATTGCATGTATTTTATTTTTGAAGAATTGCATAATAAAGGCCTTGTAGTCACAAGTATCTTTGTTTTCACTATTAAGTAAATAAAAAAATTGGTGAGGCATACCTGCAATTAGCAACTAGACTTCTGCTTCTGGGGCATTCATGTGAAGCACTACATGACTTTCTCTTTTCAGTGGCTTTTAACTGATCAATTTTCTAGTCTTATTGCAGATGCTAAGGGGGGGAAAATTAAATGAAAGAAAACCACTGGCAAAAACTTCTTCTCTTGTGTGTAGATATAGCAGTGGAACCTTAGTATCAATTATTATGATATTCTAATATTTCAGTTAATTGAAAAATAACAGTTATCACAAACCACCATGCAGCAAGCCTTGCTATTTATCTGCTTTTGTTGAAGTTTTTTAGGAAGCTGTTTGCTGCATTAAATCTGTATCAGGTAGTATTTCATAATGGGAAAAAAATTTCAATGTTTAAGGCATGATTTTAAAATTGAGTCCTAATAGTTGCACTTTGCAGCCATTTGAAAAGAATGTATTTTGTTACAAACTGGGAGATACAGTCAGTGGCTTAATGGTAGAACTGTTCTCAGTGGGAGCTGGACATCTTGAAGGAATGGAATTTCAACAACTTGATGTAATTGAATAGGGAGGAATGTAAATCCAGAGTTGGGAAAATGTGCTGACTTCCCTAATTTTCTCAACACCGTTAAAGGCTTTTAAAATCACATGATTCTACTATAGTTACAGCTTGTTGCAGTCTATGGTAAACTATGCAACTGTAGTACAATGGAGTAAAAGGCTAGATTAGATACAGTCCAAGGTAGCCTTGAAGTCTGGAGGCTTCCATCCCCCTTGTGTCTCTGCCACTTTGATTTGGCAATCTGTTTGTGTCTCCACATACAGTTCTTCAACTGTAAAGTGGAGTCAGAGGTAACTGTGTAGCTTTTAAAGCAGATTGAGAATGAAGGCTAAATATCCTTTTGTTAAATACAAATATTTTCCTCCTGCTTGGCTCTTCACTCTTCATCAGGTAGTGCAAGCTGCAGAAGTAAATTTAGTCTTCAAAGTGAAAACACCTTTTTCTTTTTTTTTCTATTACATTTCATTTTTATTGTATTAAGTAGAAGTCAGTCTAGTTGTAACATTTTTTTCCCCTCATTAGGTTTTTGTGGGTGTGTATTTTAGGAACCCATATTTAAATTATGAGAAACATATTTAATATTTTTTCTTTTTCTTTTATTCTTTCAGTTTGATCACAACATTGTCTGGTATGTTTTTTCCCTTAGGAAAAAGTTGATTCCCAATATGCTCATGGGTTGCAAGAACTAGAATTTATTCGGGAACACAGTGATACAGAAGCTGCAAGATTATGTGTAGACCAGTGGTTAAAAATGCCAGGTAAGAATAGAAAACTAAGTTTGAGTGATGGGTTCTAAGTCCTGCATTACAGAGCAGAACATGTGAAAATTATGTTGAGCTTGCAGGTGCCTTGTGCATAACCAAATCCTCCAGTATTAATTATTCTAGAACATATAATTTGAAAGTTTCTAAACATTTATTTCCATGAAAGCTATTCTTGTAATGCTTTGCTATGTAGACTTCGTGTCTTAAATTTTCTAAAAACCAGTAAGGCAATGTTATTTATTTTTATAAGTCAAGTTGCCAGGAAGAAAAAATATTACTGTTGAGCTGTTGTTTAGGAAGGTGTAAGTAAGTGTAACTTCACAATGTTCAATGAATTTAAAATACTGCCTGGAGTACCTGGAGGAAGGATTTCAAACTGTTTGAAAAGTTGTACTACTGGGAATTGAAGAGACAGAGACAGTGGAAGAGCAGACTTACTATAGTAGGATTGAAGGACAGTGAGTGGATTGTTAGTTCACTTTTAAGAATCACCACAGTTTGATTCTGGAATGTTTTAGGGTTTGTGTGTTACTTGTTTTCTTAAGCCTCTGTAATTCAGCTTCTGATTAAGTACTTTGTTTTGGAACACAGGTCTGAAACCAGGCTCTGTTAATGGAGGAAGAAGGGATATTTTTAAGAGGACCGGTCCGAGTCGAGTCAACAGCAGTCCCAAATGTTGTCCTGTGATGCATTGCAACAGACAGTTTGATAACGTACATCTTCTTCTGGGTCACCTTCAAAGGTAAGGAGATACATTGCAAGAATTCAGTGCCAGGAATAATTATGAAAGAATGTGCTCAAACTTAGGACATCAGCATCAAGTCTGCTTTTAACTGCCTGTACTGACAAAACTCCATTTTGAGAGACAATTAATATGTTACAGTTTATATAGATGAACTTCATGAGGGTTTTTTTTGATGGTTTGGTTTAGTTTTTTACTTGGTGTGTGTGGTGTGTTTTCTTCATTCAGAATTGATGTTTTCCTCTTGTTGAGCATTTTTTAATCTCTGAGGTTTTTTGAGAAGTCAGATTTCTGTACTCCAGTTTGGTTATATCTTCATCCAAACTTGAAATAAACCAAAAGGCTAACTCACACAAGTTGATGGTAAGATAAAAAGAAAAGTCCCTAATGCAGGGAAAGAGGAACAAAAGCTGTAGTCTCTGTTCTTAGCTGATATTGCTAGTCAGGGCTCAGTGTGTAAGTGTTCAATTCCAGCAGATGCTGCCTGTTTACTACTGAATGTGTCCTTAGGCAGGATGGTGAGAAATTGAGGAGAGTGTCATGGGTTAACCCCCCACAGGCAGCTCAGCCCCACACAGCTGCTCGCTCACTCACACTAGTGGGGTGTAGGGTAAGGGTGAGAAAACTCTGGGCTGAGGTAAAAACAGTTTAATAAGTAAAGCAAAAGCTGCGTGCACATGCAAAGGAAAACAAGGAATTGACAGGCAGAGCTCTATCACACGTGATAGTTGCAAAGACAAATGACATCACTCCAAGTAATTATCTCCCCTTCCTCCACCCAGCTTTTATTGCTGAGCATGATGTCTTATGCTGTGGGATGTCCATTTGGCCATTTGAGGTCAGCTGTCCCAGCTGTGTCTCCCAGCATCTTGCTGGTGGGACAGTCTGAAAAACAGATAAGACCTTGATACTCTGCAAGCACTGCTCAGCAATAACTAAAACTTCACTGTGCTATCAACACTGTTGTTCATAAATCCAAATCAACAGCCATGCAAGCTGCTACAGAAAATGAACTCCATCCCAACCAGAACTAGTAAAAATAAATAAATTATTAAATGTCTACGTAGGAAATTAGGGGTTTGTTAGTTCCCTTTAAAGCAGTATGATTTCTGTCCAGAGTGGCCATTTTAACATGTAAGTTGTAGGGAGAATCATCTCTGTATAGGATAAATTTCATGATAGGGGAAGTAAGGAATTTTTATAGTTTAGATTGGTTTTTGTCTGATAGCTTCAAAGGACAGAATTTTTCCTATTAAAAAAAGCTATTTGACTATTTAGAGGGGACTAGTTTGCTAATTATTTCTTCTTCTCCAGGTTTGATCATTCTCCTTGTGACCCAACAGTCACATTACATGGACCCCCACATAATGCTTTTGCCTGTGTGATATGCTGTGAAAGATTTTCAACCTCTCAGCAGTACAGTGAACATCTTTTATCTAAGGCAAGAGCATAAGGATAAATAACTCACCTGACTGAATGTAGTAGAGGGCTTAAGACTTAAAATTATGCATTGGTTTTTGGTGGGGTTTTTGTTTTGTTCTTTCTTTACCTCTCTTTCTCTCTTATTTCTTTTTAATATTGTTTTCTCTGATTCTGCTGTGTTTCAAACACCTGGTGTAGCATGGCTGTATTCCCTTTAGATGTAACAATTAGGTTGTACTTTTTGATATGCTTTCCAGAGGATCATAGTTCTGTCTTGAACGTGTTGTCCACCTATTGGTGTTGTTGATAGATATTCCCTTTTTTTTTTTTTTGCATCTCTAAAACTATGAAAGGTAAAGGCAGGAAGTTAGGGTGGAATAACTGACAGCGAAGAGAAGCAGCCGAAAGAAGATGGGGGTTTTATGTAAGCAGTCTGGTGTTGAATTGGGTAGTGGATAGCATTTTAAAAATTGGGTGTTCTGATAACAAATATTCTTGCCAAGTCTCCAGAAGCTGCATTAAATTTGGGGAAGTGTTAGACTTTCTGAAAATCAGATTAAATTTTGCTTGTAGTAATAACTTGATAATTAGTCATACCTGAGAAGCTGAAAGAGTGCATTGTAGTGTGTCCCTGCCCTTTTTCCATTGCTTCAAAGTTGTGTGCCTGTCATGTGTTCAGGGACATGAGCAGGAGTAGCAGCCAAGGTGGGGGAAAGACAGTGAGTGTCTCTTGCAGACAGTGGGAAGGTGGGATTACTTTGATATGTAAGGAATGGGAAGATAATCTGGATCAAAGCTCTAAGCATGTAATGAAGATTCTTGGAGTGATGTAGAAAGGCAAGCAAAAATACCAGAAGCAGAACTAAAGGATTTTTGCCCTGAAGGCAGAGCTCTGAAGTTGATGTAGAAGGCAAAGTGGGTGGAAGGAGTTGACTTCTACAGAAGACACAGACCTTTTGGGCTACTCTGAGGAGCAGCATTTTGGGGAGTTAGAGGTCAGCAAGATTAGAGAGAACTACATGAGGGAAGACAGCTGATTTATTGACAGAGGGAGCTTTTTCTGAGAGCCTGGGTAAAGGGAATAGCTAAGAATTGCTGGAGCCCTTAGTCCCTGGGAAGGTACTTGCTCCCAGTGGTGCAAGAAGGGGGTGGAGTAATTGATGGTGTAGTAAGGGTGGATGAGTAGCTTGGTTTAACAGTGGTACTTTGGCCCCTTCCTTGTGTCTTGTGAGCTGAAATGCAGAGGGGTAGGCTGTAGGTAAATACAGATGTGGTAGCTGAAAACCTAAAAGTGAAAATATTACCACAGAAATGAGAGAGGAAAGGGAGGACATGAGAACTATGCCTGGTTTCTTGACTTAATTTTTTTCCTAAACAGATAATTTTCTCTTCCAGCTAAATAAAAATGATGGGCATAAAAAAGGTATTCCTCCACAGCATATTCAGTGTTTTGCATGCCCAAACTGCTTCCTCCTTTTCACCAAAAGAGATGAGTGTTGGCAGCATATGTCACAGGAGAAACACTTCGCCCAGGTTCCTGAACGGAGTGGTATGTTGCTACTAAGTGTACTGCTTTTAATTTTCTCTGATAATTCATCCTTGAGCTAGGAAGTGACTTATATTATTCTGCTGAGTAAAAAAGCTTAAGGTTTTAAAGTTTGTTATTAATTAATTCTTATTTATCTTTTAAGATCTTACATGTGATGCTTTGAAATTTGTATTTTTGTGTAGAAATAATTCCTCTATCACACTTGCTATAATGAGATGCTGTTGAGTCTCTCATATAAGCTTCTCATCCTCCAGTGGCTCCATGCAACTGCTTTCTTGTGTAACTTTACATTTAGCATGTTGATGGAGACTCAGAGCAAAACACATAAATTTCTTTTCAATACCAGTCAGAGTGGCTGTTCAGCTCCTTCCCCTTACTTTACTGTCTGTAGTGTGCTTGGAGGCTATTTTTCTTGTCAGTGTCCTTGGCATTCCTGATGGCAAAGACTTGTTAAAATGTCTTTTCCATATAATTGCAAATTTAGAGTGCTTAGCTGGAGCATTGCTGCTGGTCTGATGGCTTGCAAGGAATACGTGCCTGCTGAAGGCTGAAATCCTGGTTATGTTGTGAGCTGGCAACATCCTGAACCATGCTTAATAAAGTCCAGAGGAAAGATCTGTCTGATCATGGTGTTGCAAACAGGGTTAATGCCCAACATAGCTGTACTGATTTTATTTTTGACATAAGCAATTGGCATTAAAGCATTTACTTTGCTGTTAGCTGAACTGCTAAGTGGTCATGTTTTAGATGTTGCAACTCTCTGAACAAGCCTACATGGCCAAAAGCATTAATTTACTTATTTCTCATCTTCATAAACGTGTTTGACTTCTGCCATCCCCCAGAGTGGCTGCAGGAAATGTACAGAAAAGGCAGGCTTTGAAGGAATCCCCTGCAGGTTGAGTCACTACTGCTGCCTTCTTGTAGTGAAGTGACAATCAGCTGCATGGTTATATTTTCCCTTATGCCTTGTCACTCTAATGTACTTTTATTCTCAAATAGATTATTAATTCTGAATGTGATGACTGCAGACGCTTTTAAATTCAGGTCATAGGTTTTAAAAAAGATTACTGGTGAGCTATTGCTTTGAAAAGATTAAAAGCACTAACTAGTATTTTCTTCTTTAGAGATGTAGAGTGCTTAACTCAGAACAAAAAATTGAGTGCTCCATTTTTTACTTTGTATTAGTTAGGCTTCATGATTAATAATTACCAGGATGGTCTGAGATCTGCCAGTGAAATTAGCTCAAAGGCATAACCTCAAATTACTGCCGGCTGATCATCACATCTTACTTAAACAGAAAAATCCAAGAAAATTTGCCTGCTAAGATGCAGAACATGAACAATATATAACCCATAAACCATTTTCTACTGTCTTTTCAGTAGTATTTTCTTACTCTGCTGGTACTAGGAGTCACCTGTGGATTATATACTCAGAACAACAGAAAGTCCTGCATCTAAAAATTTAAGAATTAACATTAAGAGTGTGAAAGAAAGAAAGAGATGGTCAGGGTATCTGGGAACTTGTTAAATAAGTTGCGTGCTCTTTCAGAAAAAATACTGTATGGCTTAAAACAAAATTTTATGTAGTAAGAGTAGACAGCTGGTAATAGGTGGAGGAGAAGAAGGTAAGAACCTTCCTAAGAGAGATATTGACCTGGCATTGTAGAAGAAGGAAAAGGGAAGTAAAATCAGTCACTGAGTACAAAAAAGCACAATGCAAACAGATTCAGGTAGAAGATAGTTACAGAAGTTAAAAAAAATAATCAGGATTTAGTTACACCTTCCATTGCACAGTTACTGTAGCTCAGCTGACATTTGTTAACTTGCATTCTGAACCCTGTGGCAGACAAGTAACAGTAGTAATTATGTCATCAGAGAGCTGAAATTCTATTGGAAAACTCTAACATGTGGTTGCACTTTCTACCATTCTGTTTTACAGATGCAACGAAGTCTGGCCATCCACTACCTTTCCCATCTTTTGCAAAGAACCTCTTGATATCTCTGTGCAAAGAGGTCTCCTTCCAAGTGAAGTGTATGTCCTGCTTCAAGATACTGCGCTCACATATGGAATTAACAGCTCATTTCAGGTTTGTGAAAGGCAGTGGGCTTTATAATGTGAACATCCATAGATCAATGACAGGTGTGCAGACATGCTTTTAGTGATACTAGTGGATTTCAGGGCAGCTAGGACCATCTGAATGTTTACTTCCTGAATAAACAATCAAAAGCCTGCACATAACTTTACCCCACACTGCAGAAAGATGATCAATGTCAGGTTCTTTTTTGTATTTTCTTTAACAGAGCAACAAAAGCTTTTTGCTGTTCCACTATTTCGAAGTTGACATCATTTGATTTTGAAAATGTACAGTCAAAAACATAAGCATCAATCTACATGCTAGCTTTGGAAATTAGCACCTAATTCTCTTCAAATTTCAGGGACAAAATATACATTGCATGGTTTTGTTGGCAAGCTGGTAGGTGGGTTAAAGTACATAGTGCATGGAAACAGTGTGCTCTTACTGCTGTAGCTACTTGGTAATATATCAAGTACATCTGAAAGTTTCATTTACAAATGTTTCAGGTGGTGATATAACCTCTTAATGTTTTTTATCCATTCTAGAACACGTTGTTATAATTCTGGGCCCATGGCACTGTCAAAAAAAAGCATCTCCCAAGTTGCAGAGATATTTAAAATGAAAGGTTACTGTGAGAACTGTGATGAACTGTTTGCTGATAAGAATCAAATGACCCAACACGAACAAACCACTCAGCATAACATTAGAGTTTTTACTACACTGGAAGAGTCAATCTTGATGTTCTGCCATGTCAATGGAAAACATAAAAATCAGTCTCATTTGGCCTACATTGTGGAACGGTCAAGACCACTGCTTAAAAGACATTTGAGTCCAGATGAGTCCTCCAGTGAAATGGGGTCTAGCCCTTCAAAACGCAAGAGTAATTCAGAAGATAAAAGTGAAGATAAAGTTGCAAACCAAAGTCAAGGTAGTGCTTCCAAAGTAAAAGCCTGGTTTTGTGAATGCCTTCAAAAGTTTTCTACAGAAGAGTCTGTAGAAAAGCACATTTTATCGGCAAATAGGATCTGTCACAAGTGTGCTGTGTGTGGAAAGCTGGCTGAAAATTCAAGCATTATCCGCCTGCATATGAGTCGATTCCATGGAGGAGCACACTTGACTAATTTTCTTCTCTGGTGCAGAGCATGCTCTGTAGATCTTAGAGAAGAGGATATTATGAGACACATAACTGAAAATCATGGTGGGCATAGTTACTACTATGAGCAAGAAGCTGTAGAAGATGAGCCTATGCCATCTGCTTCTGATGCAGTGAGCATTTCTGCAGGTGGAGATGAAGACTGCATTTCTGGCCCTGTGGAAGTGTCCCCTAAAAGTGGTCCTGTTGTGGGAAAATGGCAGTGCCGCATTTGTGAGGAGATGTTTGAGTCTGAAGAGAGTGTTCAACAACATTGCATGTCCTTAGAAAGCCATGCATTTCACAGGTACTCATGTGGCATATGTAGAAATCATTTTCGGAAAGTAGGAACTCTACAGCGACACTTCCAAGAGCATCATAATCAGGAGATGCAGACTAAATACTTCTGTGGCCTTTGTGGTAATCTCTTCTTCAACACAGAGGAAGAATTTCTAATCCATTACAAGGCGCTTCATAGCATGGACTATACATTTGTGCCTGAGCAGATGGAACTGTCGATAAAAAAAGATGAGGACTTCCTCCCAGTCGAGCAGGGAGACCGCTTAACCTGTGGTTGCCGGACAACTTACATCTCCAAAATAAACAGGAGGAACGATCATGAGAACTGTCAGAAGGCCATGCTGCAGAAGGGAAACTTATGGTTTCGATGCTGCTTGTGTTCTGCAACGGCACAGAATATTGCTGATATGAACAGCCATCTCAAGAGTCACAAGTCAGTAAAATCTAAGGGAGAGATGTATGTTGTTAGATGTGCTGCATGCAGCAAGAACTTTGATGATCTTCAAAGCGCGCATCAGCATTATCACATGAAACACTGCTTCTTGCAGAAACCTGATCTGTCAAGTCTTGCATCAGAATCAGAAGACACAGTATTCAAGTTTTCAGCAAGTGGGGCTTGTGTGGTCAGAAAACCCCATAGGCAACGATTTCAAACATCTCCATCCAAAATTCAGGGCAGACCACAGTTTTCTTCTCTGCAGAGCCCAAGAGAGGGAAAGAAAATAAAAACTGAGGACTTACAACAGCCTGAAGAATTTAGTGAAAGTATGTAGAAAATTTTTTCAGCATTAGAAAAGTATTGCTGTCCTTAACACACTGTTTCATTGTCAGTACATGTCACATACCATTTGGTTGCATCCAGTCTATAAATGAGCTCAGAATTTAGTACCTGTTATTTCTCAAATACCGAATTCTCAGTAATTGGGTTTCCAAAACTCTGACTCCAGAATTTATTGTTATATGCCATTTATATGAAGTCTTGGGGGAAAAAAAACCCAAAAAACAAAACCAAAACAAAACAAAAAAAACCAACGAAAAAACCCCAAACAAACAAAAAAGGCAGATGTGAGAATTCTGAGACCAAAACATTTGATTTTCAAATTAGTTTGGAGCATAATTTGGTGTTAAAAGGAAGAGGACCATCAAGGACACCCTAGTTAGGGATCTAATGCCTAGAAGTGTAAAAGTGATCAATCATACACATTCAAAAAAAACTTGCTTTTTTTATAGATATAAATATTTATGAGCCTGTTAGTGCTTTCTGTGTGGGCAATGCTGTTATACCATCATCTCAGCTTTCTTAGCTTGCCAAAAAACTGAGAATTTATATTCTGGGTATGTATTGTTTTCTTGTGTTCAGAAATTGGAAGTGTTCTGTGATTACTAGGGGTGTCATAATGCTTTTGATTAAGAGGTTGACATTTTATGTTAGAAGTATGGCAAAAAGTGCATATCTAAACATTTTATGTGCTTTTATGCATGCAAGCAATTGAATGTCACAGAGACTTGCCATAGTCAGGGGTACACACACAGCTGGATATTAAATAAGTTATTAAAATGTCTTGGTGCAGGATGACAGCTCTCTGTGCTTACCACAAAGTTATGCAGGTCTGCACCATCATATAGTCAGATTCTACTCTTCTCTCTAATTTGTGCATTATTAAGTGCCAATTCAGTTAATATGCAGTCACCAGATAACATCATGTTTTGTAGCTTTTCTTTTTGTGACTTTTCACTTACATATGTGACTGGAAGAGTTTTCAAAAGCGAGTTGGTTGACCAGAAAGTCACATGAATTTTAAATGTGTCCTTTTTATCCCATTGAAGATGGTGAACTTCCTGATCTTGACTATCTGAGTACCATGACTCACATTGTGTTGGTGGATCTGGACAACTGGGGAAGCTTTTTCACACAGCTGCCAGCTAACCTGAACCAAGGGACGTTTATCTGGGGTTTTCAAGGTAAAAAATGTTTGAAGTAAATTAAAAGATAAGATTAACAAGTCTACACATGTACTTGAGCAGGGATTCCTTGAATCTGAGAGAATGAAGAGCAAGATCAAGTAGGCACTAGGCTTATAACATTGCTTCTTGAACTTCTCAAACTCTATCTAAACCTCCACTGCTTGTACTAGTCCTTGTAGAATATTTCCAGAATTGCAGAACTCCTTAGAAGTCTTTCTGGCTTCCCTTATAACTTACTTCAGCTGTGTCATATTTTCATAGTTATCAAGGCACCCGTAATACTCAGAGATCATATTAACTCCCAAGTCCTTCTCATAAGGCTGGGATTTTTTATTTTGGTTTGGATTTTTAGTTCCAGAAGGCATGATTTTGCACTCTTATTAGACTTCTGATTTTCTTCTGTCTCTGGCCTGTTCTGTAGAGAGTGGTTGTGGTCATCCTGTACAACAATAGGTGTATGTCCCATCTTAAAGATAGCAGTGATTGATGGAACTCACATTGTTATGGGTTTCATAGAATGACAGAATGGTTTGGGTTGAAAGGGACCTTAAAGATCATACCATTTTGCAAAGTCTGCCAGTAGCATCCCTTTAACTTGATGCTTTTGCTTATCTGACTGTTTTTGAACCAACTGCTTGTCCACCTGCTTTTTCTACAGGATTTTTCTGTATCTCCCTTTACAATTATTTTGTCTGTGGTACATCAATTTCTTCAGTAAAATATAGATAAGGGATAGTTTCAAAATATGAATGGCCTGAAACACAGGCATCATCATACCAGATTTGTAGGTCAGGTATGTTTTACACTTGCTAAACACTATTGCATTGCACTTCCTTGCTAAGTGTTTTTCATTATCTCTTCCCATAAAAGATAATCAAGGCTGTTCTGAAAGCTGAGAGTTGTCATGCTGCTCAGGTTGTACAAAGATCTGTTGATGCCTGGGTCAGTTTTTTTTTTTCCTCTTAGAAACAAATTCTTCAGTTAGCTGATGAAGGTAGAGCAAGTATAGCTGTTAATGTAGAGTGGTAGAGATTCAGTCATCTGTGCTCCTGAACCTGTAATCTGGTATCTGCTTGTTAGGAGTTTTGTGTCCAGAGATGTTCCAAACACAGGTGCCTGATGGCACAGCACAGCCCATATCAGCACCACTCAGTTCTTTACTTCCTAATGGGCTTGCTGCATGCAGGCTGCCTCATGGGAATGGCCCCTGAGGCACCTGAACTAAAAAGATATGCTAAAGAGTTACTTGTGAATAAAATGGACCAAATTCATGTTAAAAAAATATTTACCAGTTTTAGTGTCAACTGTATTGGTTTTGAGCCTGGGAGCACTAAGGCTCCCAAGTACATCTGGATCTATTTTGTAGGTACCCTCTCATAATGATGATTTGTACAGTTACTTGAGGCATGCTATTCTTCTTTGTTTAACCTGTGAACATATAGCAACATTTTTTCCTGCATTTCCCAGAAAACATTTCTGAATTTTTAATTATAATTTTTATACTATATATCTGCATTATTTCTATTATTTCTGTTTCTGCTATAGCCTTAGCTTTGCTTTGAGTTCCTCCATTGCATTGTCTGGACTCTGTATTGTTTCTGTCTTCAGATACTCAGTTGTCTTTAAGCCATTTGTGGGCTAACAAACGACATAAATACAGGTCTATCATTGTTTTCAGCTGCCCTGGTCAAATGCTTATGTTGTACATTTATGCAGGCAAAAACAGGGCTATGATTACAAGTCTTTCCCAAATAGCAGTGGCTGAGGGCAGACAAGAGCAACTTGCAAATAGCATTTTTTTCTTATGGGCAGGTTCCACTAAATCATTTCTGTGTAGACTCTTATCAACAATGATCGCAAAAATTTGTTATCATCTTCTTGCCATTAGGCTGAAAAGGCAGGGGGGAAACAGGAGCAATCTACTGAGGAATGCTTTTCTTTGTCAGACTGTGGGTGGACATGTGATGTAAAGCATCCTCTTCAGCCTGGTTACTTGAACATCAATTTACCATGTCCTCTTGTGAAGTGCCATCAATCAATGACTGCTTTCATTTTCCATTCAAAATCCTTTCTTACATCCAACCACTCTCATCTAGCAGATAAAGCAACATTTTGTTCTTGTCTGCAACTCCATGTGCAGACCCATTATTTGTTAGCCATTGGGATGTTAAAAAATTCTTAGTCACTCTGGTCAAATTGTCCTTCCATTTGCTTGCCTTTTTATGGTGCCATATGTATTTTTATGGGGTAAGCTTCTCTGGTTTTTCCTCCCTTTGTGAGAGACTTCCTGCTTCTTTCCTTTCCCTTGCAACTTGTTTCAGTCTGGTCCTGATTTTGTCTGTACTCAGCTCATCTTTATTATCCACCTATTTTCCTAGCCTGTTAACTACATGTTTAGCATACTTTTTAGAAAACTCCTGCATCTTTTTCCCAGTTGTAGCCTCATTTTGCTCGTCCTTGACTGCATCTGTGGGTTTGTCAGGACTCAAGCATTTCTCTGAGCTGTTCCTCCAGATTTTGGATCCTCTTTTTAATGAGTTCTGACATGGGATGTGTCAGGCAGTTAGAGTGCATGTTGACTGTGTAACTCCAGTTGTACAGGTTTCCCTAAGAGAAGCATTTCTGTTACTTGTACTATGTTTCCAGAGCTCTTCTGATTCCGCAACTGTGCTTCAAACTGGAGAAAAACACATCCTTGTGTCTAAAAGCACATGATATCTAGAAGATAAGCTTTTCAGAATTTGAAGAAAAAATATTGTACAAAATTTATAGAGTAGCATCAGGCTAGCTACTTTTTTGCCTTCTCTCTGAAGAACAAGAATGCTGAGGGGATTTGGATTATATGTTTTTCTTAGCTTTCACACTGGTCAGTAAATTCTGTCTTTAAAGAGAGTTTTATATTTGCTTTTGGCTTCTTGCATTCTTAATTCACAGAGGTGTTTCTACCAAAATTCATGGTTTGTTTGTTTATCATGTTTGGTTTTTATTATTGTTACTATTATTCCCCTTCACTGTATAGGAGGATACAGCAACTGGAAGCCTCCAGTGCATTGCAAAATTTACAATTATCTTAAGAGGATTGGATGTTTCTTTCTTCATCCGCGTTGCAGTACCAGAAGAGAGGCAGCAGACTTTGCTCTCTGTGTTCATGTAAGTTAGGGCACGCTTGCTTTATTGTGTCCTGTACCCAGAGAAGGGTGGCAGATGGTATCTGCTATTGATGATGAGTACTAATGGCAGATGACATTTCTAGATTCTTTCCATGACACTTCTGTGTCCCCTATAAAGAATGATAAACCTGGATTGAGTGGGGTCAGGTGGTCGAGAAGTGACTTAAAAATCAGCCTGAATAGGACAACAGTCTGTTGTGGAGGGGAAGGGAACTGGTTAGGGAATGAAGAGTAAAAAACCTGCACTTCTTACAGTTTCTCTTTGAGAGTGATATAGAACTCCTTTCTCTTCAAGTAGCCCAAATCTCGAGCCATCTTTACAATGGCTGGAGTTGAATGGGTGCTGCTTTCACAGACCCTGTTGAGCTGACAAAGAGCAGTGCATTTATTCAGTAGACTTTGGGGTTTGGCAGGGTTGGGGATGTGCATGTGAGGGACAGGAATCTGGGATGACACAGGGCCTCATGTTCCTAATGTAGTATCATAGATTTTAAGGTTGGAAAAGACCTTCTAGATCATTAAATCCAGCCATCAACCCAGCAACCACTGTCATTAAGCCATGTCCTTAATTGTTCAAAAATTATTTTGAACACTCCAGGGATGGTGACTCCACTGCTTCTCTGGGCAGCCTGTTCCAACCTTTTCAGTGAAAATCTAAACCTCCCCTGGTGCAGATTGCGGCCATATAATGCTTCATCAGTTAAATAAATTACTACCTATCTAACTGTATAAGCACATTTTTGCAACAGTGGTTTTGTTTCATCATGCTTTTTGTTACTTTTAAAATGCTCTGCAGAGATGACTTGTTTTATGTAGAGACAGTTCTAAAATGCTGCTTTTTAGGAATTTGTTCCATATTCCATCTGTACTGTTCTGGTAACCATCACCAGTATCTGTTGTGCATAGAGAAGAAATGAGCATCAAACTTTTGAAACAGTGCCTTTCACAGTGGGGTGATGTGGCTTGGATAATAAAAGCAGGAATAAATTGCTGTAGAAAACTTTCAAATGAAGTGTCTTGCACAAAGCTAGCCAAATGCCATGAGATAAAAACATGATCTCTGTTCAACACTTGTTTTTTGTTTTGTGTAGGCCGGTCGTCTGGATGAGCACCTGCCCAAGCAAATTCCTTTCACTGTTCTTTCTGGAGACAAAAGCTTCCTGGAACTGGAAAACCAGTTTAAAATGACCCAGCGGTCAGCTCGCATCCTGAATCCTCACCACATTGAAGGAGACATGATGTGTGCCTTGCTAAACAGCATTTCAGATACCACAAAAGGTAGAAAGTAAACATTAAACACAATTTTTCCAGTAAACTGATAGTTCTTTCCAATAAAAAAATGGAACACTTACACTGGTAACATAAACTGTTGCTTGGTGCTTCTTGTTTTGTAGTGGTATTTCAATGAATAATAGATTAGAAAATCATTATGCTTGGGCATGTTTTGAAAACAGACTTAATTATTTTTCATTCAGTATAAAAACTATGTCATCCCTGTGTTCTTTGTTATATCAGGAGACAAAACTGATGTTTGAATCTGAAAACTCCTTTTCAGTTCAGAAGAAGCTGTTTAAAGCACTCTTGTGTGCATAGTTATCAATTTGTTCTCAGATCTGTTTGGCTTGATTTATTCTGTGTCTGAAACAAATGTGACCCTGCTAAAGCACCATTATTTCTCAAAACACTTCTGTCTATTTTAACGTGGACCTCCTAGCTACTTCCTATCATTTGATAAGTGTCTTCACACACCCATTTGGAGAAAAAAATCTCAGTGGAAGTTTTTGAGTTCTCTAAAGTGCCAGATTGTAATGGCATGCTAACATGTTTACATTGGTTTTATATAGGATAATCAAAGGGGATTGAGCCAGCTCATTTTCATCCAAAGGATACCAGAGCTGAGATGAATTTTAATACTGACCAACATTTCAAAGTATTTTGCTGTTTTCCTGGAAGACTTGACATTTCTCTGTGGACATTTTTGCTTTTTCTGGCTTTTTGTTGTGATATTGGAGAGTTGTAAATTCGTGGAATATTTATTTAATATTCCATGAATTTACAACTCTCCAAAAGCACAACAAATTAGCCCTAAACAGTGGTATGAAAACTTACACTGCTAGCCTTGATACAAGTTTATGAGAGCTATAACATGGTACTGCTATTCCACAAAGAAGATTGCAGTGCTATCTCTGAATTATTAATTGGCATTGACTGATAAAAGGAAAAAAAATAGGATAATTAAACAGCTTTCTGGAAAAAAAAGGTAACAACATTTAGGTACCTTTGATATAGAAGAGGTGCTTACAGAGTTTTCTGGCCACCCCAAGCATTAGAAGTTTCTTAATTTAACAGTTCTTTCAGTGTCCTTTACTACATTAATATTTACTGTTATGGTAATTGGCCCTACCTGGAGGCTGTAAACCTTAACTTGCTGCCTGGCTGTTCATTGTGTGTTCTACTTGAGTTGCACATGTGGTCATTATAAAAAAAAAATCCTTGAACAGGAAATTGATGAAATGACACGATTCCTTTGGCTGTTAGCATTCCTTAACAAACTTGTAAGGAACAAAATTGTCCCCTTTTTTAGTCAGTGTCAGCAAGGGGGGACCCAAACAGCAAAAGCTGTCTTTGTCTCTGATGTGTATTAAAACAGAATATTAGAGACTTCACTGTTCATAATAGGTCTGTATTTGCTGCATTGTGGGATGATGTTGTTACCAAGAGTTTATAAAATTTTTCTTTAAAAAGATCAAGCCACCACATAGTACACACACGTTGTGTGGCTCAGCAGCATCAGCCGTCATTTGCAAGTCTTAATGCGGCAAAACCGGTATCGGAGGGTTGAGATGGAAAGTTGTGCAGTGTATCATAGGCTGGTATAACTTGTTGACCTGTTACAGAAAAGCAGCTGAGTAAAAGGAAATGCAAACAAGAATTGCTTGCTTTGTGACTCTCTTAAGCCTATGGCTATTATTCTGGAGGGAGAAGTAGGTGAGAAACAGGACAGAGAATCATGTTGAAAAATATCAGACTGTTGTTGATATTGGATAAGCTGCAACATGAAAAAGCTCTTTCCCTAAATCACCTTGACAGAGCTATCATTAGCTTCTGAGCACCTGGCCTGTGTTTGGATGTGGCAATCTGACAGGTGCATCTTGTGAGCTGTTTTACCAGCACAACTGCTGTGGGAACTATAGTACGGCATTTATTTTAAAATAAGTAATAAAATAATATTTTCTGCATATGTTGCAATATGATACCAACTGTATGTTACTATAGGATACTCTTGGCTGGAGGAGATGCTTGAACTTCCTTTGAGGTATGAAAAGAGTAGGCATTCTTACTTGTCCTCTGCTGCTGCTAAGCCTGAGTTCATAAATGAAGGTTTTTGCTTTTATGCTGAAGCCACAACACATGAGAAGAGCTTGCTGCATATTAACTGAGTGGTTTGGGAAGGGTGGAAGGGAAGAATTTTCAATGTCTTACTTTATAACAAAAAAACCCAGTAGTGTGCAGAAAAATATCATCATTCCATTGTCTATGTCTTGGTGATATCATATCCATTGTGTTGAAAGTACACTTATTATGAGTGCTGGACAGTGTTGAGGGCAAAGCTGATAGTAGGTTGGGGTCATCATATCCATCCATTCCATTGACAGGAATGCAACAACTTTTTGGTTGACAGATTATTTTTGTATAAGTCTAGTGTAACTGTAATTTCTCCCAGTTATGTTTAAATGAGATCCTTCAGTGACTGAGCTCTTAGGTAAAACAGACTCTTAAATAATAAGAACAAATTTTTGAAAATATTTCTTGTCCTTTCTTTTGAAGAGCCAGTCTGTCTCATGAGCCTGTCAGAGTCAGTGGTGTACTGAATGTAGTGTTGTCCGCCAGATAGCCACCATACCTCTTTCACTGACCCATAAAATACATTTCACTGTGCTCAGATGGAGCTGCCAGCCTACATCTTCAATCTGCTACTCTTGCCTGAAGTGTTTAAATACTACTAAATGCAGCTTCCATTAGAGTTTTTGTTTGGAAGAGCAGGATTTCAGTTCATTTTAATGAATGCTCCCAAGCTTCCTAGCTCCCACTATGTCCAAAATCTTTTATTTTACGTACATCCAACAAAATAATTTAAGAGGACACAAGAACAAATTTATAGAAGACAGTGAGAACAGTTGCTTTTCTTCTCCACAGTGAAAATTTTCATGGGTGAATGTCTGTGTGTGGTCCAGTTTGAGGTCCAGTATGAATGCTACATCTGTCCCATCTCTGCTTTTTCCAAACCAGCAGTTAACACAGATTGCAAATCACAGCCTCCAGCCCCCACTTTCCTGAATGTGAAGGGCATGAGCATCTGCAGAGTGATGCACCATTAATGAATTATAGTTTCTCCAGTAATATATTCCTTTATTGTTGCAGTAGGGAGTGATAAGAAAGTCACTCTTCACTTGTAACCTTGTGTTAGCTACAGCAGGAAGTTACTACTGGGTTTGGTATGTCAATGGCATCTCTTGTATGTATGTCCTAGGGAGAAAGCAATGTACTGAGACCTAAGATAATGAGTCTGAACAATTGTAGGCCAGCGGATGAACTGGGAAAACCTCACCACTCAGATCATACACAAAAAATTCTTGAGGTTTAGCTTAAATGTGGCTTTGAATTTTACAGAGTCTAAGATAAAAGTTAGACGAAAGTCTGAGTGACTGTAATGGTATTGGCCACAGTTTCTGAGAAATGCAATTGGAGGAGAGTGGCAGCTTGAGAGCTTTATTTTTATTTGTCCTACACTTGAATGAGCAACTGTAGGCAGAGATACATAGAGTGAAGCTTGCTTTGCATGGGGGAAAAGAGGTCTTGTATGGTGGTAACCCTCAGCAGGGAGTAGCTGTACTTGCATTTACAGATGATATTACCTTAATATGAAGAGAAATTAGAGCAGTAAGTACTGGGGAAGAGTATATGGGAAGGATCCTCCAGGGACATATGAAAAAAGGAATAAAAGACAAGATTCTAGAAGCCAAGGAAAGTATTTTAAAGGCAGCATGGCCACACATACCAAGTGTGATTGCTAACAAAGGTAAGGGTGGGGTACTGATCTAAAGATTTTGGTTAAGTAATTCCCAGGATCCTGACTGAGTTAACAAATTGTACCTATAAGGTAGCACTAAAACTCCAGACAGCAGCTGTAAAAGGAGAAGGGTCAGTGGTTGGAGAGATAGTGTGTTGTGAATGCCACTGTACATTGGAATGGGAAAGGGGCAGGTGAGATTGGAAGTTACTGGAAAGACTAAGAGAAGGGATGTTTTAGGAGGTAAATGAAGGTGGGGTGTGAGACTGTACAGTGGACAAGGGGTGTGTTGTGTGGTAAGGGAGCAGGAGGAAGGCTGGGGAAGGGAATTTGAGTCTCTGGTGATAAACCTGATGGAAATTGTTAAAGGGTTGGTGGTAACTGGGGTGGTTGCAAAAGAAGAAGATTGGTGGGGGGATATGGAAGAAGATATAGTGGGGGGATGTTACCCTGAGCTGTGTGGGCAGCTAATCCAAGTTCAAGCTGTGGTGCTTTGATGGGAAGACAGTGGGTGGTGTTTACATTCTGTGTAAGTTACCAGTCTCTCCCCAGAACAGGTTTCTGAGAGATATGAAATGTCAAAAAAAATCACTCTGAGCTCTATATTCATCCAGAGTTTGCTTTCCTGGTTTCTTGTTCTTCCAGCAGGAATATGTCAGTATGTGAGGTCAGTAGTGAGCAGTAGGCTTTCTTTTGAAAGAAGAGGTACAGTCAGAAGTTCTTACCTGATGTGTATTTGACAAAATGTACTAGAGAACAGTACAGGAGATCTTAAGATCTCTTGCCTCTGAAACTGGGCAGCTGCTTTTCCTCTGACACCAAAGGAGTTGGGAGCTACAGCATGTGCTGAGGATTTTATCAAGAGGGACAGGACATGCCCAGTTTCTCAAAATTAAACATTCTTCATTAGAAGATGCCAGCAGTATCAGCAGTATATGCTGACGAAGTGTGAGCTGCATGAGAAAACTGAGATGTATTGAAAACTGGCTGAACAGCCAGACCTGGAACATGGTGATCAGTGGCATGGGGGTCAGGAACCATCTGTGTCCCAGTACAGGGGCTGAGCCTTTCTAATGTCTGTTAATGACCTAGATGATGGGGCAGAGCATACCTACAGCAAGTGTGTTGATGACACAAAACTGGGAGTGGCAGTTCATACACCACAGGAACTGTGGTGCCATCCAGAGGAACCTTGACAGGGAAGAAGTGGACTCGCAGTAAATCTCATGAAGTTCAACAAAGGGAAGTGCAGAGTTCTGCATCTGGGGAGAAACAGCCCCAGGCATCAATATATGCTGTCCAGGAGTCAGCCAGCTGGGAAATGGCTTTGTAGAGAAGAACCTGGTGGTCTTAGTGGACACCAAGTTGACCGTGAGCTCTTGTGTGCTCTGGTGGATGAGAGGTCCCACAGTACCCTGGGCTGCATTAGGAAGATTGTTGCCAGTAGGCTGAGGAAGGTGATGCTTTCACTTCATTCAGACAAGTTTGGAGCTCCCCACTACGTTGTCTTTTCAGTAGTACTCAAAAGCTATCTGGACGGAGTCCTGGGTAGTAGATGATTCTGACTGAGCTGGGAGGCTGGACAGTATGACTTCCAGAGGTCTCTTCCAATAGCCACCATTCTGTGACATTGCCTGACCAGTCTGGTGGTGTGTTATGATGGAGGAACTGCAGTGCTTGACAAGGGAAGGCTGTGGTACCATCTGCCTGGACTTGTTGGTGGATAAGGAATTGGCAGGATGGACATAGCCAGCGGGCTGTGGTCAGTGTCTCCATGTCAAAATGAAGGCCAGTGACAGATGGTGACCCCCAGGACTCTGTCTTGGGGCCAGTGCTCTTTGGTCTCTTTTCTAGTGACACAGAAAGTGGAATCAAGGGCACCCTCAGCAGGTTTCCAGATGGCATGAAGCTGAGTGGTGCAACTGACACCACTGAAGGGTGGGATGTCATCCAGGAAGACCTGGACAAACTTGAGAAGTGGGCCCATGAGAACCTCATGAAGTTCAACAAGGTCAAGCGCAAGGTGCTGCACCTGGGTGGGGATAATTCCAGACATGAGTACAGCCTGGGAGAAGAGCTGCATGTGAACAGACGAGTGGAGAAGGACTTGGGGGTTCTCATGGATGAAAAGCTGGACCTGAGCCAGCAGTGTGCGATCACAGCCTGGAAGGCCGGTGGCATCCTGGGCTGCATCAAAAGAGAAGTGGCCAGCAGGTCAAGGGAGGGGATTCTGCCCCTCTGCTCTGGCTTCGTGAGACCCCACGGGGAGTGCTGTGTCCAGTTCTGGGGTCCTCAGCACAAGAAAGTCATGGATCTGTTTGAGTGGGTCCAGAGGAGGCCACAAAGATGATCAGAGAGCTGGAAAGAAAGGCTGAGATTGTTGTGGTTGTTCAGCCTGGAGCAGAGAAGGCTCTGAGGAGGCCACATTGTGGCCTTCCAGTATTTAAAGGGGCCTTATAAAAAAGAACTTTTTACATGGGCAGGGAGTGACAAGACAAGGAGGAATAATTTCGTACTAAAAGAAGGAAGATATGAGTTAGATGATAGGATGAAATTATTTACTCGGAGGATAGTGAGGCACTTGACCAGTTGCCCAGAAAAGCTGTGGATGTCCCATCCCTGGAAGTCTTTTCATGTGATGTGTACTAAGCCAAGACTGATTGCTTCAACTGTTCCACCTCTAACAGGCATCAAACTTTTTAGACGGTCTGACATGTCTTAGAGGCTGGAAGATTAAAAGGATAGTTAATAAGGGAGAAGCCACTTGCAAAAAGCCTTTCCTTTGTACTTTTTCCTCCCTTTCATTAGTAATTGTAGTGACTGCTTTGGGGGATGAGGGGGTGTAGATTATTCTTTCCTTTGCTTTGGAAAATGATGTAAAAATTAGTATCTCTTCTGCTCAAGAAATAGTAGGCAGCTCCAAAGAGTTCACAGTCAGTCTGCCAAGTAAGTGGAGAAATACCATTTTAACTATCTATTTCTGGTGTATTTTTGGGCTGCTGATCACTGTTGGACACCAGCTGTTGGAATTTTTATTCCTGGAATTGGGAAAGTCAGCAAGGTTGTGCTCAAACAGGTTGTGTGTCAGAGGTTTGAAAACAAATTTTGGAAGCGTACTTGACATTTTGAATAGCTAAGTTGGGTAATTCAAAATGCCAGAAGTCACACAGTAAATTAGATGGCCATATCAGAAAGTTCTTTGTTGGTTAATGTAATCAGAAGTATATAAATGTATTAATAAATGTGATGACTTTAAGGGGAGTGCTTCTGTTGGTATGACTGCAGGAGACCTTGTTGATTGCTAATACTGTAAGACCTCATTACAGAGACCATCTCCCAAAATAGCAATAGCCTGTAGCAGGAGCATGAATGCATAACGTGACTCATTGGCTTGGCTTTTAACCTGTACTTTACTGCGCCTCTGTTTAATGGGGAAAAAGCCAACCAACAAAACACTCAACCAACCAACCAACCAAACCCCACACCACTTCAGGTACACTAGACACTTCAAAATAAAGCCGTTCTTCTGGAGCTGGAAACCAGCCTTTCTTAACCAGCTGTTAAGAAAGGGAAAGGTTGTGGAGTTTTGGCTGGGCTGGGTTGTAATGAATTAACAGATTAAACTAAGTCTATCAACCTTCTGCTCATATGAGACTTGAACAGCAACATCTGCTGAATTGCACTGCTTGGTTGAGTTTTAGCACTCCATTGTTCAAATACAGTATTTGTGCAATAAAACACAGCTGCAGTCATGTGTAGGCAGAGACACACTAAGGCACTTCTTCCCATAATTAAATCCATGATACATTTTATAGAAAGTGAGTAATTTATAGAAAGTGAATCATGTTTAAATGCAGTAGACACAGTAGCTTCTGCACCTATTATTTCTTGTTGCTTTAACATAATGAAAAATTGAAGCAATCTGCCTCTAGATTGTGGGGAGAAGGGGAAGGAGGTAGCTGAAAAATAACTGTTTCTTGAGTTGCTGTCTTAAACTACCACTGGAATTTATTTTTATCTTGATTTTTTTAGATCATAGCAAATGTTCTCTTCAAATCAGTTGGTGTTACAGTAAGAGAAATGCAAGAGAAATGTTAATACCTTTATTAGAAGCAATGTGTAATGTATTTCATTTGTGCATTTAAGGTTCAGATAGTGAAGAGGATGAAGATATGAAAGAAACACTGAAGCAGAGCTTAGAAGAAACAAACAAACAAGAAGGTCTGTCAATTTTTACTGTTCTGTGTTAAAGAGCACTATTAATTATGGAAGATACAAAAACTGAACTAAAAATCAGTTTTACAGCCAATGACCTGTTAGGAATACTCTCTAAACTATGCTGGGCAGTCTTGAGTAATGAAGAATGCTGTGATGAGTTATAAATAAAAAAAATTTCTAACCTGAAAAGTATGCCATCAAACTAAAACTCTATTTCATTAGACACCACAGGGTACTGATCAGTTAAAGACTTGACTGAGTTCACTTTGCACCAGTTTAATATGACTCTGTTGTCTCAGAGCAGAACTATTGACTAAATAGCTGAACTTCTGAATAAATAATTCAAGATTAGATATTAGTTCACAGTAAAGCACTCTGGTCTCCTGAAAGAGCTTTAGAGTTATGCACAAGGTCTAATCAGCAGTCCATTCACATCCTATCTTAAATTATTTGAAATTGTGTTCATCCTTTTGCTTTTGAGCTTACTGGTGGTGTTCAGTGTAGTCATGCATTTTTGGTGACAGACCAGTGCACTTTGAAAGACTTTATTCTGCTCCTCTACCTGATGGAAATAAACTAAAAAAACCGAAAAAAGTTGTACAAGCTCAGTGGTAAAACTGATTACTGAATCTTATGTTCCCAGAATTTATTCAGTTTTAAGTTTACTAGCTGTTACTACACACTGTTGTTGAATATCCAGCATTCATCTCCAGCACTGAAAGTTTGGTGTATTCAGGCCCCCTAGAACTGGGAGAGCAGTGACATTTGGTGCATGCAGGCGGTCCCATTTCTGATGCTGCAGTGCAGAGGCATCTGACCTTATGAAGCAGCCTGGCTTCAGATGAGTCACAGCTTGGACCTTATTCTGTATTTTTGCACAGGCTTAGTGGCTAAATAACATATTTTAATGCAAGCAGTTGTCTGCAAATCGTTCCATGTCTTTGGTTTTGTTTGTTTCTGTGAGCATGTAATATTTTTCTTTAAGCAACTCTCTTTTATCAGTAGTTCTGGATGTTACAGTAAAGTCCAGAAAGATGAGAGAGCAATCAGTGATATGATCTCTGTTCCAAATCTCAGCCTTGCATAAAACAGCCCAACGATTATTAAAGTTTAAAAATTCTATTTCCTTTTTCATAACAATAGACAGGTCTTTCTTTTTAATAGGATGTGCTTGTGTCCTCCTAAAGCAGAAGAATAATAATTCATGAATGACAGTGTGTCTGAAAGCTGCTTTAATTTTTCCAGCTACATTATTGATATTAATATTTGCTGTGCGTACAAACCTTGTCAAATGTATGGTATTTGATCACTAACGCCAAGCAATTAGTGCCCAAAACAACCTAAATGTAATGCAAAAACAGTTTCTTTTTTGAGTATTACGAAGGTTGTTGATGAGTGCAATTTTCCTCCCCACTGTCAAAACTGTTACAGCTCTGATTTAGACTATTCTTACTGCTGAGAATGACTTTTTATCTACTTGTCTGGCCTACCTAGTAAGAGTGACAACAGTGCTGCCAAGTCAGAATGTAGGTATGGGCATATCTCTGGTTAAGGAACTGGAATGAAAATACTGAAACCTCTCTGCCTGTTATGTGTATGTAGTTTTTTGTTTTAATACTTTATTTTTCTTGGTGCATACATATGGGTTCTAATCTTGCTATTAGTTTGACCAGTAAATACAGAGTTGCAATTATGGTCTTTAAGTAATCATTGGGCTGCTCCTGGTTAAGACAGTGACAAGCTGTAGAGGTGTTTTCCACATTTTGTAGTGTTGAAAAGATAGCATAAAACAAGGAGAGAAAATATTTTCATCTGTTTCTTAGTGTTTTTTTGCAGTCTGCTGAGATTGCCCACAGAAATAAGTTCATGCTTTATGTAGTACTATTAAGGTGGTTGTGTTTATGGCTAGTTATCAATTGCAGTTTGACATGACAGTCTTTTTTTATTTATACAGAACTGCTAGATGCAGAACTGCAAGATGCAGAACTGCAAGAAGCTATCAAAAGGAGCCTTGAGGAAATGTAAATGAAGATACTTCAGTACACTAACACCATGCCATCAGAACTGCTCACAAAAAAGGAAGCTTGTTCCATTTATTTACAAGGGTTCAGAAATGCCACTTTTGAAATGTCTTTAATTGTTAGATTAATAATCTGATGTCCTCTGTCATATTGATGAACAGCTGGAGTTTATTCATATTCACAGCAATGTGTTATGTTTGATAAAAAGAAATTTTTAAGCCTTTTCATATTTGTTTCTAAGGGGTGATGACTAAGTCTCTACAATTTAGCAGTTTGAAATTGTTGCCTAATTAGTAGGCTGGTCTTACTAGGTATTTTGGGGTTCCTGGTTGTTCAGGTTTCTTTTCTTGAATTGGTTCTTGTATTTAATTTTTTTGTCACAAAATGTCATTGTCTTTATTTACTTTTTTGTGTAGTCTTTGCAACAGATAAAAATAGTAAACTCCAGTTATTTCAGATTTGCCTGGCTAATCTTGTTATAAAGAGAAGCTTAGATCCCAGGGTTGTTGAACACATGGCATAACTCTTGCCTCTGGCTGGTTTTACTTCATAGGCCATAATTTTGTCTCTGTCCTGTTTATTTTAAATGTCTGAATCAGGACCACAAGCTTTACAGTTAGTTTACCAGCTTTTTTTGTAAATGTGTTTGCTTTTTTAAAAGTGGTATTTGGGTTTGATGGCTTAAAGTTCAATGACTTCATTGCCTCTCCCTTACCTGAGGCAGGAACAACCTTTTAAGGGACAGAATCTAAATAAACTTCCTAGTTTCTGTTTGGACTATGTCGCGGCGTGGGTGGCTATGTGCCCCCAGGCCCGGCGACAGCGACGACAGGGGCGCGACAGATCCCCCTGGCAGACCCCGCAGAATTCCAGTTGCCAGCGGAGGTTTGGCACAGATGAACAAAGAGGCAGCAGCACGGGTCTTGGGGTCGGAACATGGGTAGCTTTATTTAGCAACAAAACTCCCCAGATCCAAGGTCCCAAGACCCTGAACCAAGGGCAGGCATTAACTTAAAAACAGGGGCAGTCTTGGGGGAGGATACAATTTTTAACCAATGGGGAAGACTGAGGGTGGAACACAAAGTGGGGCAATACAATCTGTAAAACAATAGAGGACCTTAAGGGAGGGGAAAGGCTTAAGCAAACCAATGGGGTTTCAAAGGATACAAAACTGACACAGAAGGTTCTGGAGGGAAGGGCAGGCTTAGGGAAGGATTGACATCTAAGAAGGGGGGGACAGGGAAGGCTTTGGGGGAAAAAAGGGTAGGGACAAGAGGGATTGACAACTTGCCAGGGAGTGGCCAGGCAACAAACAAGAACTGACAGTTAACTGAGGTGAATAACAACGAAGAAGCAAGTCTAAGTTTAGCAACATAAGATACAAAATGGGGAAACTGTGCCACTCCAAAGGCAGGGAGAAAAACACAGAGTGATTAAAAAACCACAAATCAAGCAATAAAATATATCAAATAAAGAACACACCACAACATCTCCCCCTTTCTTTTTACAAAAGATAAGGGAAAGGTGTTGGGTTTGATTGAACTTGCAAAACAATGAATGTAACAGAACAGAAACCTTACAGCAGTTAACAATATTGGAATATATAATATTTTACAACATAAGATATAAAACTGACAGGAAGAATTAAACTTTCATTTTCATGTTGACTTTCTGGTTGTACTGAGGAGTTTCCAGCCATCATCTTCTTCTGCCGAAGAACATTGAGTTCCAGGGTCTTCTTCCCCAAAGAATTCAATTCATAACATGGCAGACCTTGGTTTGATTGTAAAATTCTTCCTCTAAAATATATAACTTAATAACTGGGTTATTTTTTGGGATTAGGAGGGGGGCACAGAAATACCTAAGTTTTTAAGGTGTAAAATATATCTATCAATTAAATTTCATACATATTCAATCTTGAATAATTTTAAATTTAAAATGTGTCATTTTATCTTTAAGTTTCCCCTTTATTACCACTACCATGAGTATGTCCCTTCTGCAGGGCCCTCTGCAAGAAGGGTAATACTCAGGGTTCAAAGGGGGCTACCATAAGTGTGGCCTTTCTGCGGGGCCCTTGGCAAAAAAAGCGACACTTACAGTCTTTTATAACACAACATTATTTCAGAGGCACACATGAATGTTAACTTTTCTCAACCTCTATAAAAAATGTGAAAAGGTTCTGGAGTACCAAGGGAATGGGTGAGAGCTAGGGAAGGTTGCAAGGCAAGGAAAAGACAGAAGGGGAGCCCGGGAAGGCTGTAAGGCACTGGAGAGACTTGAGGGAGCCAGGGAGACGGTAGCAACCCTGCGCCTTCAAGTTTCTGCGGGTTGCTCCCTCCAATCTATCCAGTGCAACAAAACTTTAGGGCAAAAAGGCTGGGATTAGGCAAGGTCGACAACAAAGTCCACACTCATGATGCTTCTCTAACTCATAGTAACATGAAATTAAAAGGGATTACCAGGTAGGGCAAATTAGGAGGATGGATAGGAAACCTGAGCAGTCACTTTACAATTAAACTCTTTTCTTTTTGTTTTTGTTCCTTTTGATCTCTTTTAATTTGATAATTCGTTGTGGCTGCTATCTGAATTGGGTCTAATTCACAAGAAATATTACTATAAAGTTGGTGACTGCTACAGGTAATTAAGGGGGTGGGTGAGGGAATGGATCCAGGCGCCGCCGTCTTAGGGGGAGACAAGATGGCGGTTTCTAGGTCCGGGTTTCCAGTTCCTCCTCCTCCAAGAGGGGGCCCCCCACAAAGGGGGAGGACAACCCTTCAAGAGAGGAGGTCCCCTGTAGGAGGGCTCCAGGAAGACCCGACTGGAGTCCCTCCCCCGATGGGGGGGAACCGGAAGAAGGATCAAGGTTTGCCACAACCCCACCCTCCCACAAAGGGGACTGGCCTACAACCCAATCTGTGGGAGGTGGCCCTTGAGGAAGGAGTGGGGAGCAGCGGTAAAGCTGGGGCCGGGAAAGAAGGGTCAGGGTAGGAAAGTGGGCTCCAAGCGGCGTGGCCATCGCCATCTTGGAAAGGAGTGCTCAGCACACTGCAGTTCCCTAGTAAGGCCTGAACAGCTGCTGGCTGGGCACTTGGAGGGGTGCGGCCAACCAGGGGACAACCTGGGTTTGGGATATTTGTTCCCGGGTGCCATCCCCGCTGCCATCCCAGGTGCCATCCCGGGTTTGGGATATTTGTGAGGGTTAGCCAACCAGGGGACAACCTGGGTTTGGGATATTTGTTCCCGGGTGCCATCCCCGGTTTGGGATATTTGTGAGGGTCGGTAACACCTGACCTCCAAGGGAGGATGGGAAAGTGTTTTGGGAAGTCTGAGGGGTAAGAGGTAGATGGGCGTGCTGCTTCTTGATGGAAATCTTTTGTCCCATTCTCGTCCCTCCCACTCTGTCCTCCCTCAAGGGATGCCCCTGTTCTCCAGGGGGAGAGCCCTGACTTTGGGAGAAAAATGACAGAATGTGAAAGGATGGAAGTGGGACTCTCTGGTGAGGAAGGAAGGGAGATCACTCACCCCTGCAGCTCGGGTGTCGTTTGGCCGTCCTCTCTCACCAGGATGCGCTGAAACTGGTCTGACAGTCACTGGCAGGCTGGAGACTTCTTCTCTCTCGGCTCACCACCTCCAGGGACCTGGGTGTTCCCGGTGCTTCAAGGTCCATCCCCAGAATCTTGGGCGCGGCCACTATCAGTTCCTGGTGTGCTCGTCTCTGCCCTCAAGCGAACTTGAGCACCTTCTCGTGGCGAGCTTTCCCTCAGGCCTCTGCCCATGCAGAAAGTCGAGAGGGTCCTGGAGCCTCCAAATTACCGCTCGGCTCCTCTTAGAGTCTGGGTGGAGTCTGCAGCTGTCGTCGATGTCTTCTGTCCCTTCTTCCCCTTCAGTGAGGCGGGCGCCCCCACGTATTTGCCCGTTTGTTTTAGAAGGCGAAGAAGGGAACGCCCCACGTTGCCCCACGTTTGGGCGCCAACTGTCGCGGCATGGGTGGCTATGTGCCCTCAGGCCCGGCGACGGCCTTTCTCAGTTTTGTTTTAAAATATCTATGCAAACTGTCCAGCTTTACCAGCCTGTTATCCTTCAGTTAATGATTGCTGTCAATCAGTAAGAATTCTCAGTGTAATAAAATGCCAGCTTAATTCTTTTTTATGATTCACTCACCTTGCGAGTTTGCTTCTACCTGCTGTATCCTTAAATACTCATTATGCAAGTAGATACTTTTTGTGCAGAATATGATGTGGGGAAGACTGGATTTTTCTCACTCTTCCAAAGAGTCAGCATAACTACAGCTGTTTGTCATCATGGTTAGAAAAGCTGGAAGACTGACACTGGTTTATTTCTAATCACCACTCTCATATAATTGCTATCTCTGAAGCAAGTAGAATGAAGGAAGAATCTAGTGAGGTATCTGGCACTCATTAGCAATCATACACCTTGAAGAAACTGTTCAAATGCCAGAAAATATTTTGAAAACTTACAGTGCATTTGAGTGTGCCTCCCAAGTGTTACAGGGTGAACAGGACCTCTTAGTGGTTTTCCCTTGTGCCTGTTGCTTATTTTCCTACTGCCAGTCTTGGATTCATTGCACTCCTGGTAAAATTAAGGTGTGTAGTTCACACTGCTGCTGAGAGAGCCCTATTATGGGAGATTTTGAGTTGTCTTCAGCTACGTAATTTACTACTATCTTTAGCTTAAATTAGTTCCAGAATTTTTCCCACCCTTTTTCCCAGTGCTTCTGTTAAAGGGTGGACTGAAACAGAAAACAATTTTCATCCTCAAAAGCATCTCCTAAGTTACAGAAGCTTTGGGGCAGGTTTTTTTCCCATATGGATCCTGAAGTTTCAATTTCCTTTCACATGAAAAGATGTTTCAGTCTGAGAAAGTTCTTTGGTTCAACGGTGTTTAAAACCTGGACAGATCATCTTCTCCAGAGTCTGCTATGTTAGAATTTGATTATGTACTTTATTTTTCATTTAACATTTTATTCTGTCATAAATTTAAAGTTTTCTTGTACCTGATGGGCCATGACTTAATTGGTTGCATTAAAAAAAAAAGTTCTGTGTGCACACATATTCTGTATACTTGAAGCTCCACTTATTAAACACATCGTATTGGCCTTGTCATCTGCTTACCAAAACAAGTGGCATTGCTGCTTTGGTTTTTATAAAGAACTAAATAGAGTTCTAGTTTCTCCATAATTTTTATAACAGTAGTCTTTAGAATCAGCAACATCTTAAAATTTGGCTTCATTTTGAATAAAATTTTGGTCTCTTTGAGGTTCTTTTAACTCAGATTTTTCTTTGTGAAATTTTCTGCCATCACAGGCTTGTGATAGTTCTGTTTCCAGAAGAACAGAGAAAATGGGATTCTTAAGACACTGCATGTACAGACATGTGACTTGTTACTCACCAGCATCTTGTGGTTGAACACCTTCAACTAGAAAAGTTGTCTTGTAAATGTGTTCCAGAATTCAATGGTTTTGTCTGGTGAGTCTTGTTTAACTGGCTGAAATTTTTGAGGTTTGTCCTTCATGTGCTGAGAAATCTGCCTGCGTTTACAAGCACAGCCTGTCTGCTAAAAGGGGCTTGCCCAGTACGTTTGTACTAGAAGAGTTTTGTCATGCCCTTTTCAAGAGCATTTACTTCTGTAGTGATGTTTGAGTTCATCAGTCGTTAGCCTAATGTAATTCAGTAGTGCTTCTTTGTATTTATCTTTAATGAGGAAAAAGTCTAATCTCTACCTGACTTCCACCAGCTGTTCATTTCAGTGCTCTTAATTTCTATACGGTGCATGTGTTAAGTTTTACAAAATTGAAATTGTGACAACTTGAGATTGATGTAAGGCTCTTAATTAATTGGTTCTTTGTGTGCCACATTCTTACGAAACAAAATCCCTTTTTGGCCATATTCAGAGACAAGGTGAGATGCTAAATAGCCAGTGCAACTGTTACTAAAGTCACTGGAGCACTGAAGTGTTATAATCTGCCTGGTTGCTTCTGTTACTTAATAATATTAGAAAGAGAGGGAGAGATTAGCTGACTCTAAGATACCTGCCTTGTATGTATGTTTTGGGTGGTGCGTTAATTTTTGTAGCTCTTCAAGGAATACAGAAATGACCACCACTACTCCTGTAGTGCTCATGGAATGCAAACCTTTATGAAATCTTTACCAAATATAGTGAAGTTTATAGAGGTATGAAGTTACGCCATCGTCTTTCTTAAAAGGAAAGTGTTCTCTCGTCTGCTTGCAGTGTCCTAGCTGTGTTTACAGAGACTGCTGTAAATTGGAAGGAGGTGAGGAGGATGAATGATGAATTGTTTCAAAATTAATTCAGAAAAACTGGCTTACATTAGCACAAATATACTTTCTGGCAGTTCTTTCCAGCTAAGCAGCTTTATGAAAGTCTGCATCTGCATTTTTCTTTGGTACTTCTGAACTCCTTCAAGTTTCCTGTAGAAATTCTTAGTTCAAGTGGTTTGGTGCTCAGTAGTAACAATATGGGTCAAATAATATGGCTTGAGAAAATTCTAAAAGTGGATGTAAACAAGTCAGAAAATTTATGGCAAATGGGAAGAACAAGTTCTAGGGCAAATGGAGAACGTTCAAGTGTGTACTTGAACGGCAAAGCTCTGTGTGCATGGAAATTTAATATAAATTTCCCTTTGTAAATCTGTGCAAATTGGCTTTCACTGACTGCAATATCCTAATTTCTGGTAGTCCTTCCCTTTGGTTTTTGCTCAGAGCTCCACTGTCAATCGACCAAGCATCTGCAGCTGTACAGAATGCACTGGCTCGTTTAATCATCGACTTTGCTCCCATGAGAATGAACTGCTGCGTGCCCCAAAATGGTCATAGCAGCTCTCAGATTGCTCCTGAGACAGAGGGCTTCATTCACACTTCTAACAGGCCTGGGACCTCGGGGCTTGTCCACACAGTAAAACAACTGCAGCGTGTAAAGGCAAACCCACGGCTAGTTTTAATTAGCATTGGTAAGAACAGCAGTAGAGACACAGCAGCACAGGTTCAGCAGGTGTGAAGTGAGGGGGCAGCCTACTGTGATAGCAGACATGTATTTTCATTGAAAACATACCCTGAAAAGTCAGGTTGGCCCATCTCCATTGTTATTGTTGCGGTGCTGGGGAGACTGCAGGCTGGTTTTAGTTGGCTGGCCTGAGCCATGGATGCATCCTTCAGCCATGTCTGGGAACTGTTGTGTTTCCAGAAGACCTGCACACAAGGAAGGTTCTTAACCACCGAATGGTTTGGGTTGGAAGAAGACTTAAAGTCATCTAGTTCCAGCCTGCTGTGGAGAGGAACGCCTCCCGCTAGACCAGGTTGGTCAGAGTCCCATCCAAGCTGGCCTTTTCAGGGATGAAGCATCCAAAGCTTCTCTGGACAACCTGTTCCAGTGCCTCACCACCCTCACAGAAAAGAATTTCTTCCTGGTATCTAACCTAAATTTCCCATCTTTCAGCTTGAAAATACTGAATTCCTGTAGGTGAAGGCAGGAAAATAATCCTGCATGGTTTCTTGGGTGTGGACTTTCTCTTTGATCCTGTTCCATGACAGCTCATGTGTAAGTGTTAGGATATGGGACAAGGTATATATCAGGGTTTGAAATAAGGCAAAGCTGGAACTAAGATTACAATTTGCGGTGCTTTTGGTGTAGGTCATCTCCGTGGCTCTGGGGCTTCTACGGATGCATCAGATGTCTGAGACCTGGGAAAGTTGCTCTTTCTGCTGTCTCAAGGGACTTTGTGCACGTGAATGAGACTACTGTTCATTGCTCTGTTTTGCAATCAGCACCCATTTTTTACAATGTTGTAGTTTAAACAAGAGTGTTTTCACTGCTGTGATGGGAATGCAGGAACAATGGGGGACACACCCTCTCCTCGTGTTTTTGCTGGTGCCCATAGCCAGAGCAGGGCTGTGCAGTCCTTCACATGACCACAGATGTGGGGACGTGGGAGAAGACAGGGATGTTAGCATGGCATCACCAGCAGTCCTGATCATGCTTCACCCCTGATGGCAAGGAGGAGAATGAAATATGTGCTTTGTTTCCTGTGGGGGCCCTTCCTCCTTCTTACCTCCCTGAAGAACCCAATTCCTGCCTTTTGTGTCCTCAAAATTCCCCCAGCTGAGCTGTGAATCACTTTCCTTCCCTCAAGAATGGACCCCAATCTTTCTAGACCAACC